GGGTGATATAGACAACTAACAGGTGGAGCAAGGGGTGATATAGACAACTAACAGGTGGAGCAAGGGGTGATATAGACAACTAACAGGTGGAGCAAGGGGTGATATAGACAACTAACAGGTGGAGCAAGGGGTGATATAGACAACTAACAGGTGGAGCAAGGGGTGATATAGACAACTAACAGGTGGAGCAAGGGGTGATATAGACAACTAACAGGTGGAGCAAGGGGTGATATAGACAACTAACAGGTGGAGCATATATGACAGACAACTAACAGGTGGAGCAAGGGTGATATAGACAACTAACAGGTGGAGCAAGGGGTGGTATAGACAACTAACAGGTGGAGCAAGGGGTGGTATAGACAACTAACAGGTGGAGCAAGGGGTGGTGTAGACAACTAACAGGTGGAGCAAGGGGTGGTATAGACAACTAACAGGTGGTGCAAGGGGTGGTATAGACAACTAACAGGTGGTGCAAGGGGTGGTATAGACAACTAACAGGATTGAATCTATTACTGTGTTGTGACAGGGGCTTCGGTTGCTGGATGTGGTGTGGTGGGACAAGGAGTGGTATAGATAACTGACATAGTTCCCCGTTTGGTGCCCACATTTTTGCTGCTGTAATTTCTACTTGTGTATCAAGCTGTTTGTACATGTGAAATTTCATTGTGATTGGATGGTGCGTTAAGAATGAATGGTATTGTAAATGTAAACCTCAACGCTAAATTCAAACCATTAGTTACCTCATTATCTTGTTCGTAGTTTATAGCCTGTGTTCAGCAGAAATAAATATGCTACATGATAACTGGGAGACGGAGTAACCATGCAATTACCGTGTTTGCTTCGTCGGACGAGGATCAGGGTTTCAGTTTTCCCACATGGGGGTAACGTGCGAAGCTTGTAAAAGCGACGATTATCATTCTCATTCACTAAATGTGTGTTTTTTCCTACATTTAGAGTAGTTTTCAAAAGAAATAAAAATAAAACCAGTATCCCCAGCTGAAACCAACCATCAACCCCTCGCGTATCTAATCAAGGACGTCCATATGGTTGACTAAGTACTATTCCTGTATCAGACAGTACATATCTACCTGATTTTCTCTCTACGCCACACCGACCCTTTTGATCACACTCTTTTCATTCGTTTTTCGCAGCGTGCGATATCTTAGCAACTAAGACGCTCTGATTAGAAGAAAAATGAAGGGTCGTCTCGAGCGCTTTCATGTCGATTGAAAAATATTGATTCACCTCTGGACAAATGTAAGTAGTAAACATGGCAGACAGAGGATCGAAACTAGTTACATTGTGATGATTAAAGCAAACTTTTTGCATGTATACTTCATACAAGCAGAAGAGGATGTTTGTATGCATTCTCTCGAAAGCTAACAGCCTTTGCACGCACCCTTGTGAATGTTTTTATCAGATCTCTCTGATTTATAATAGCATTTGATATTCAGTGCAAACTTGTATCTATCAATATTGATCGCGTTCTTTGTCATCCAGGATAGCGCGACGTTTAAAAGCAATGCAACATTTAATGCTATGTAATTATATATATTAAGGTAGTGTCTGAAATCGTTTATAGTCTGTACTTTTAACAATAGTGAAGTTATATTGGTGAAGAAAACTATCCTGTAGGTATTTCAGAATTTCTGGCGTCCTTTTTCACTACCATAAAACTGATAGACCTTTTCGAAAAAATAAGACCCACAAAACAAACTAACTCGAAAACCTAACACAACCAAATTTACTTGCAAAACCGACACTCATCTGAATAAAGAAACATATTGACCAGTTGGACACGTCATCTCAAGGACCCTTGAAACCATGGTCCGTACACCAGGATATCACCACAAGGTCATACTTAATACCCGAGACCATGGTGAATACGCCAGGATATCATCACAAGCTCATACTTAATCCCCGAGACCATTGTGAATACACCAGGATATCATCACAAGGTCATACTTAATTACCGAGACCATACATCACAAGGTCATACTTAATTACCGAGACCATGGTGAATACACCAGGATATCATCACAAGGTCATACTTAATTCCCGAGACCATGGTGAATACACAAGGATATCATCACAAGGTCATGCTTAATCCCTGACTCCATGGTAAATACAACAGGATATCATCACAAGGTCATACTTAATTCCTGAGACCATGGTGAATACAACAGGATATCATCACAAGGTCATACTTAATCCCTGAGTCCATGGTGAATACAACAGGATATCATCACAAGGTCATACTTAATTCCTGAGACCATGGTAAATACAACCAGGATATCATCACAAGGTCATACTTAATCCCTGAGACCATGGTGAATACACCAGGATATCATCGCAAGGTCATACTTAATTCCTGAGACCATGGTGAATACACCAGGATATCATCACAAGGTCATACTTAATTCCTGAGACCATGGTGAATACACCAGGATATCATCACAAGGTCATACTTAATCCCCGAGACCATGGTGAATACACCAGGATATCATCACAAGTTCATACTTAATCTCTAAAGCCATGGTGAATACACCAGGATATCATCGCAAGGTCATACTTATTCTCTAAAACCATGGTCAATGCTACCAGGATATCAACACAAGGCCATTGTAAATCCCTACTGCAATATCTAATACATTGGATATCCGCACAATCCCCCATTTCTCAAATCAATATATATCATTAGCGACGACTTGCCACGGAGACAAGGTCTGGCAAGCCCTCTATGTCCCAAACATACGAGCTGAGGCATGTGTCACAGTCAAACATCGATCTCGGCCTCTCTACCTTGGTGATTATCGTATTATTTACCTGTAATCATATAAGGAACACATCGACATCAGACTGTACGCTTCTACTGTGAAGAGTACAAAATAAGTTGAAATTGCCTCTCAGCAAATTATAACAATAGCGACAGACTGAAATACCATTTTACACGCATCTCAGCAATATTCAGCTATTACACAGAGGTGCTACGGTTGTGCAATAAATTGTTAGACCGACCAAGGGGTGTGCAGACATCTTGAGATGTATTCTGTCTAGCAGTCAAGACAGGGTGACGAGCCAGGGCCTAGATTTTCGAAGCTCTCTTAGCGCTAAGATAGTCGTAACTGCCATACACTAACATTAACTTACGACTATCTTAGCGCTAAGAGAGCTTCGAATATCTAGGCCCATGGCCTCAATCAGCCAGCAAGAGATTGGGCGGAAATATTCAACGGTGAACACAAGAATTGTCTAACTTATTTTGACAATTAACATTTTTACTCCGAGTGACCCGAGAATGTGTATGTAACTATGATGAAGTTGAAACAATGATGTTACATGTCTAAATATTCCTCCCATTCCATTATGTACCTCAACCTAGAGTACCAGCAGAGCATGCATGGGGGATCTGCTTGGAGCCATTGGAACACATTTTCCTATTATTTAGCGCATTCAAAGGGCTTAATATATTGATTTCAACGATAGCCTGCAAATCAGTATCAAACAGTGAAGATACCATTTGAGCTTATCCTGCCCCACCAGGGGCATCATTCAAACACATGGAAAGGCAAGCCAAACGCTCACCTGAAAATAACCACGAGAATATATGGTACAAAATAAGAAATTGCATCGGAGATGTTTCAACGCGTGGAGATATCCGTCACATGTCACATAAAACCTCTTTGAAAGCTTTACTGAGGCCTTGAATGTCGTAACATATTTTGACTGGGGTCATATTACCTGTTGTTAAATTGTTGGTAGAAATGGCATGCTGGATTATACAATATCTATTCTGAAATGTAGACACCTACGGCTGGACCTGCTGACATTAAGCCCGACACCCCACAGGGATATTTATGAAAGACAAATAGCTATACAAAACACAGCTACGTACAGCAGTTAAAAGAAACAAGTAATATTGCAAATTAACGTACAGTTCCACGATATTCAAAGTGGAAAACGTCTACCATTACTGCAACAAATGAGGTTTACAGATCTTAAACAGAAGGTCAAACGAGAAGGTGGATGACAGTTTATTAATCCTGTACATGCACAGAAGAGTTCGTCTCTACCGCCACAAGGAGAACGAACGTCACGGCGATGTGTTCAAGGCGTCGCACCGTTTGAAAGTGTCGACGTTGTGATTTGAGGTGAAATCGGTGACAATGTCGAGACACTTGCCAGGTTCTCGACCTGGTGCAACCTGGTGTGCTCCCCTAGGCCGAACGTGCAGAGTTGCGTCCCCTTGGTAATCCAGAAAGCTGTAACCGTCGGTTGTAATCCCGGTTCGCTCCAAGTATATTTCTAGATTTGTCAACACCATACTGATCCTTCGTGGAATCACTAAAGTGTTGAACGTCTGAGATATGACCTCCCCTGGCTTTCCTCCTGCATTAAGCTCGTAAGCTGTGATGTCATCGTATAACTGCTCAAAGTGAAACTCACTCACTCACTTCCTCATTTTTAAAGGCAACATTGCCAGTGGCGGATCCAGAGGAGGGGTTCAGGGGGTTCGGACCCATTTGGTTACTGCAATACGCTATAAAAGTTAGTTTCTATATTCTAACTAAACGTTCAATTGATAGAATTGTTTTTAAATCATCTTAAACGTTTCTGTCAATTTCGTCGTTTCCTCCCTGTTCGTCAAGCCCATCTTACCAGTTGGTAGACCAGTGGTGAAAGCGTTCGCATCTCAGAATTGAATCGGAACCAGTATACCAATCGTTAGATGCTTCATTGAACATTAGCTAGAAAACCTTTTCTGTAATCATCAGAGTCGTTTGTACGATGTCGACTACATATATATTGATAACACCGCTAAAAGGCGAGCGTATCTGGCTCCACGGTGGCCCCTGTTAAAACCACATTGTACTAATATCTACCGCTTTAATGACACTAAATTCCCATGTGGCAAAACAAGGGATCAAATATTCATCAGCAAAACAAATTGTATTGATCCTCCATCGACAAGTGTTTGTCTGAACAGTGTCATTTTCTGAAACTGACGAGAGGTTGATGGTCACGCATGCTTTGGCTGAAGTCGTAGTCTGACAATGTCTGGCGATAAAGCTCGCTGTTCACGTTGACCTTTCGTATCAGCTTGATTCCCAGACAATCGGCTCCTTACACAATCAGGTGATTGTTGAGGGTGAGGCATCGAGGTGGCACAAGGAATAGCATCGACATAATGGTAAGTTTGCATGTTGTATATCTGGACTGGCACGGTAAGGGCGGGTTGTAACTGTGTTGTATGGTTGTATTAGGGTGGGTTGTATCTATGAGTCTATGAGTAGTTTGCATGTTGTATATCTGGACTGGCACGGTAAGGGCGGGTTGTAGCTGTGTTGTATGGTTGTATTAGGGTGGGTTGTATCTATGAGTCTATGAGTAGTTTGCATGTTGTATATCTGGACTGGCACGGTAAGGGCGGGTTGTAACTGTGTTGTATGGTTGTATTAGGGTGGGTTGTATCTATGAGTCTATGAGTAGTTTGCATGTTGTATATCTGGACTGGCACGGTAAGGGCGGGTTGTAGCTGTGTTGTATGGTTGTATTAGGGTGGGTTGTATCTATGAGTCTATGAGTAGTTTGCATGTTGTATATCTGGACTGGCACGGTAAGGGCGGGTTGTAGCTGTGTTGTATGGTTGTATTAGGGTGGGTTGTATCTATGAGTCTATGAGTAGTTTGCATGTTGTATATCTGGACTGGCACGGTAAGGGCGGGTTGTAGCTGTGTGTGTATGGTTGTATTAGGGTGGGTTGTATCTATGAGACTATGAGTAGTTTGCATGTTGTATATCTGGACTGGCACGGTAAGGGCGGGTTGTAGCTGTGTTGTATGGTTGTATTAGGGTGGGTTGTATCTATGAGACTATGAGTAGTTTGCATGTTGTATATCTGGACTGGCACGGTAAGGGCGGGTTGTAACTGTGTTGTATGGTTGTATTAGGGTGGGTTGTATCTATGAGTCTATGAGTAGTTTGCATGTTGTATATCTGGACTGGCACGGTAAGGGCGGGTTGTAGCATGTTGTATATCTGGACTGGCATGTGTTGTGTTGTATATCTGGACTGGCACGGTAAGGTTGTATTAGGTTGTGGTGTTGTATCTATGAGTCTATGAGTAGTTTGCATGTTGTATATCTGGACTGGCACGGTAAGGGCGGGTTGTATCTATGAGTCTATGAGTAGTTTGCATGTTGTATATCTGGACTGGCACGGTAAGGGCGGGTTGTAGCTGCATGTGTTGTATGGTTGTATTAGGGTGGGTTGTATCTATGAGTCTATGAGTTGTTTGCATGTTGTATATCTGGACTGGCACGGTAAGGGCGGGTTGTATCTATGAGTCTATGAGTAGTTTGCATGTTGTATATCTGGACTGGCACGGTAAGGGCGGGTTGTAGCTGCATGTGTTGTATGGTTGTATTAGGGTGGGTTGTATCTATGAGTCTATGAGTTGTTTGCATGTTGTATATCTGGACTGGCACGGTAAGGGCGGGTTGTATCTATGAGTCTATGAGTAGTTTGCATGTTGTATATCTGGACTGGCACGGTAAGGGCGGGTTGTAGCTGCATGTGTTGTATGGTTGCATTAGGGTGGGTTGTATCTATGAGTCTATGAGTAGTTTGCATGTTGTATATCTGGACTGGCACGGTAAGGGCGGGTTGTATCTATGAGTCTATGAGTAGTTTGCATGTTGTATATCTGGACTGGCACGGTAAGGGCGGGTTGTATCTATGAGTCTATGAGTTGTTTGCATGTTGTATATCTGGACTGGCACGGTAAGGGCGGGTTGTATCTATGAGTCTATGAGTAGTTTGCATGTTGTATATCTGGACTGGCACGGTAAGGGCGGGTTGTAGCTGCATGTGTTGTATGGTTGTATTAGGGTGGGTTGTATCTATGAGTCTATGAGTTGTTTGCATGTTGTATATCTGGACTGGCACGGTAAGGGCGGGTTGTATCTATGAGTCTATGAGTTGTTTGCATGTTGTATATCTGGACTGGCACGGTAAGGGCGGGTTGTATCTATGAGTCTATGAGTAGTTTGGTTGTATATCTGGGTTGTATCTATGAGTCTATGAGTAGTTTGCATGTTGTATATCTGGACTGGCACGGTAAGGGCGGGTTGTATCTATGAGTCTATGAGTAGTTTGCATGTTGTATATCTGGACTGGCACGGTAAGGGCGGGTTGTAGCTGCATGTGTTGTATGGTTGTATTAGGGTGGGTTGTATCTATGAGTCTATGAGTTGTTTGCATGTTGTATATCTGGACTGGCACGGTAAGGGCGGGTTGTATCTATGAGTCTATGAGTAGTTTGCATGTTGTATATCTGGACTGGCACACGTAAGGGCAGGTTGTATCTATGAGTCTATGAGTAGTTTGCATGTTGTATATCTGGACTGGCACGGTAAGGGCGGGTTGTATCTATGAGTCTATGAGTAGTTTGCATGTTGTATATCTGGACTGGCACTGTAAGTTGTATATCTGGACTGGCACGGTAAGGGCGTTGTATCTATGAGTCTATGAGTTGTTTGCATGTTGTATATCTGGACTGGCACGGTAAGGGCGGGTTGTATCTATGAGTCTATGAGTAGTTTGCATGTTGTATATCTGGACTGGCACGGTAAGGGCGGGTTGTATCTATGAGTCTATGAGTTGTTTGCATGTTGTATATCTGGACTGGCACGGTAAGGGCGGGTTGTATCTATGAGTCTATGAGTAGTTTGCATGTTGTATATCTGGACTGGCACGGTAAGGGCGGGTTGTAGCTGCATGTGTTGTATGGTTGTATTAGGGTGGGTTGTATCTATGAGTCTATGAGTTGTTTGCATGTTGTATATCTGGACTGGCACGGTAAGGGCGGGTTGTATCTATGAGTCTATGAGTAGTTTGCATGTTGTATATCTGGACTGGCACGGTAAGGGCGGGTTGTAGCTGTATGTGTTGTATGGTTGTATTAGGTCTGTGGGTTGTATCTATATATCTGGAGTCTGTATCTATGAGTCTATGTTTTGCATGTTGTATATCTGGACTGGCACGGTAAGGGCGGGTTGTATCTATGAGTCTATGAGTAGTTTGCATGTTGTATATCTGGACTGGCACGGTAAGGGCGGGTTGTATCTATGAGTCTATGAGTCTATGTTTTTGCATGTTGTATATCTGGACTGGCACGGTAAGGGCGGGTTGTATCTATGAGTCTATGAGTAGTTTGCATGTTGTATATCTGGACTGGCACGGTAAGGGCGGGTTGTAGCTGCATGTGTTGTATGGTTGTATTAGGGTGGGTTGTATCTATGAGTCTATGAGTTGTTGTATATCTGACTGGCACGGTAAGGGCTATGAGTTGTTTTGCATGTTGTATATCTGGACTGGCACGGTAAGGGCGGGTTGTATCTATGAGTCTATGAGTAGTTTGCATGTTGTATATCTGGACTGGCACGGTAAGGGCGGGTTGTATCTATGAGTCTATGAGTAGTTTGCATGTTGTATATCTGGACTGGCACAGTAAGGGCGGGTTGTATCTATGGGCGGGTTGTATATCTGCTGGCACAGTAAGGGCGGGTGAGTCTATGTGTTGTATGTTGTATATCTGGACTGGCACGGTAAGGGCGGGTTGTATCTATGAGTCTATGAGTTGTTTGCATGTTGTATATCTGGACTGTTGGCACGGTAAGGGCGGGTTGTATCTATGAGTCTATGAGTTGTTTGCATGTTGTATATCTGGACTGGCACGGTAAGGGCGGGTTGTATCTATGAGTCTATGAGTAGTTTGCATGTTGTATATCTGGACTGGCACGGTAAGGGCGGGTTGTAGCTGCATGTGTTGTATGGTTGTATTAGGGTGGGTTGTATCTATGAGTCTATGAGTTGTTTGCATGTTGTATATCTGGACTGGCACGGTAAGGGCGGGTTGTATCTATGAGTCTATGAGTAGTTTGCATGTTGTATATCTGGACTGGCACTGTAAGGGCGGGTTGTAGCTATGAGTCTATGTGTTGTATGGTTGTATTAGGGTGGCTGTTGTATCTATGAGTCTATGAGTTGTTTGCATGTTGTATATCTGGACTGGCACGGTAAGGGCGGGTTGTATCTATGAGTCTATGAGTAGTTTGCATGTTGTATATCTGGACTGGTACGGTAAGGGCGGGTTGTATCTATGAGTCTATGAGTAGTTTGCATGTTGTATATCTGGACTGGCACGGTAAGGGCGGGTTGTATCTATGAGTCTATGAGTAGTTTGCATGTTGTATATCTGGACTGGCACGGTAAGGGCGGGTTGTAGCTGCATGTGTTGTATGGTTGTATTAGGGTGGGTTGTATCTATGAGTCTATGAGTTGTTTGCATGTTGTATATCTGGACTGGCACGGTAAGGGCGGGTTGTATCTATGAGTCTATGAGTAGTTTGCATGTTGTATATCTGGACTGGTACGGTAAGGGCGGGTTGTATCTATGAGGATGATGGTCATGTTGATGGTGGTGGCTGTGTCGTTGATGACACTCTACAGACTGATGAATCTGACTTTCATTCTCAGTTTAATGTTGTGTAAAACGAGCGAAACAGAAGATACACGAACAGTGACAGGAATATAGAATACCATGAACCAGGATTTATGAAAATATGTCAAAGTGCGCGTGTGCGCGTAAGTGTGCTCGTGTGTGTATGTGCTTGAGTGCATGTGTGTGCGTCGAACTCAGTTGCTTCGCTAGGGGTCTTCGTGGGTCGTGGGAAGTGGAATGGTGGGTTGGGGGGTGGGTCGAAACATATGCTGTATTCATTTATGTCTACCTATACTACTGACAACAGAAGGTTAGGTATATTATTGCTATTTGTACTAGTGTACACAGTGTGTGAGTGAATTCATCTTTAATGCCACATTGGCAATATTTCAGCCATACGACAAGCACACAGACTCCTGCATAGTTTACCGACTTGTCACAATTTCTCAACTGACTCAAATTAGGGCATAGAATGTATAAATCTGCCATTGTATATATACTCTTGAAAAAAGTAGGGGAACTTCATTTTTAATTTACGATTGATATAATTGGGAGATATATCGGAGTCAATCATTGTTGATATGATAATAATGAATGTTTGGAGAGTGCATCACCACAGTTGTTTGTTGGTACAGGAATCGCTCTTGAAAGATGATTGGTGTATGACGTGAAATGTGCATGTGTACGATTGCCATTTTCAAACAAAACAAACACTAACAGCTGTGTGATGCAAGATGATTGTCAAAATTAATGGTCTACAGTGACTTATCGACCTTGTTGATAACCGTCAAAATCAAGAATGACACCCAAAGCACGTGTATGGGGCGACTGCGTTTTGCACGTGCATCCCATATCGTTGGTGGCGATAAAGAGAAATGGTAGTGTTTCATAAGATGTCTTTGAGAAGTTTGATAACGCTTATACTTCCCATCCAAATTGAAAGTTCAGGTTCCCCTACTTTGTTTTGAAGAGAAAACATCACGCTAAATGGAATACGAATCATGCTGCAGCAACAATATGCACTTAAAAGCCTGTAACTTGGATTACCCGTTACTAATTACACAATATTTATCTTAAACAGTCAACGTTGGACCCAACGGATGTACTTAAGCTTCTTCGACGAACAAAGAACATTCGCAACGTCTGCATCGTAGGCAAAGTAGGTGTAGGCAAGACCTCGTACGCCAAGGACATCATAAAAAAAGCCAATGACAGTTCTCGGGGTGGTGCCAAGGTGGACAGACAGGGAGGAAGGAGGGGGAATGGAAGGGGGAACTCGTCCACATATCACGATGATGGTGGTACTGATAGTGATGATGAAGAGGAAGATGAAGACACTCCACAAGGAGTAACGACGTAAGTTTGTTAATCTGTTTCATTCATGTTTGCTGGAAAATGGGAAATAGCTCTTTGTAACTATTACTTTCTGTTACTTAATTTTAAAGGCAAATGATTCTTTGCGATTTACGTAAATGTAGGTAGACAATGAGTTTTGGCTATAGGCCCAAAATAGCTTTTTTCGGCAAAAATAGCTCTTCCCAAACTGTTGAATAATCCAGTTACCCGGTATATCGTATCCGTTGTTAAAATATATACACCCCGGACCCATTCGACATTAAACTATGGTTTTGAAAAATATAACAACACTAAAATAGATTACCCAATGCCATTTAGAAAGTGGTCAAATGTGACTCACGTTATATTTGGCATTACACGTCTTTCTCAGTGAAGTACAGATTCTAGTTCTCTTGTTAGGTTGAGTCCCATCTGGGATTCGAACCCACACTCTCAGAGTCACATAATATCCAACACACAAAGTCAGAGATCTAACCCACTCAGCCAACGCTATGTTGCTAAAACAGACGTCAATCAACTTACACCTTTTTATCATGATTGAAACAAGCAGCAATATCGCCAGTGGCCTTTGGACTTCCGCATGCTGTCCCAAACACAACAAGAACGTCCTACGGCACAAACACTTCCCCCAACGTCGTATTAATCAGGAAAACAATTATTTCAGCTGAAATAGTCTCGTTTGAATAAACTGAATGCGTTTTTTATTCTAGATACGTGCCAAACTCGAGTTCAGGAGAGAGCTTTTGATGTGTTGTTGGTTTTGAAGGTCATGCGCGAGATAAACTGTGTACAAAATGGAATCAGGATCCCTTGTGAAGTAACTTCGGTGTAGTTGGGTACACGTCAATGTGACGTCAGCATTTTATGAAGCTGTGCCAGTTTGGATTTATTGCACACAGCATTATTAAGAAGTACCTATTTTGTGGAGATTCACGCCTTCCCCAAAACAAGGGTGTTAACTACCTAGATAGTAATATAGAGTTAACTCCCTTCCCTCGGCCAGCTGGGAGATTCACACATAGACAATACTCAAGTAATTAATAGGCTTGGATGAAACATGCGAATCATTACTGTGTATTATTCCGTATCTCTTGTAATCAAATACCAAACTCAAATCGACAAACGCGTTTAATTTAAACACACTGGAAGACAAATAAGAAGTCTGATTGATTAATCTAATCGATATACTAAACAATAGGACCGTCGATGAATATACGGTAAGACCTGCTCATTACATAGGCACAAATCAATAAAATCGTTTGAAAGAATGCAGTTAAAGGTTTATTGATTTATACCGGATAAGAAACAGTGATGGCGCTCCTGTTTTAATTGTCATTGTGCAGTCTACCAACCCGACCCTTGTAGTTATGTGTTGTTGTTTTCTGGTTATGCATGAATGATTTTAGAGTAGGAGACCATGGCAGTGAAAACAACTCAGTTTCTGAATTAGTCTTACAAACGCTAAGACAAATATATCCAAGAAAGCCCATGGAAGTCTTAAATATGTGGTTAGTCTAGATTTCCACAGTTTCAGGTTGAAAATGAAGAAAGTCTCTGGGCTCCTTTTCATCATATTATTTCATCATTATTTATTAACCGTTTATTCTGTAACATTTGTTCATTTCATCAGTCTATTGGTGAATCGTAATGTGAACGTTATGCTCAGTACAGGAAGTTGAGAGATTTGGGGGCGGAAGTGTTATGGCTTGGGGTGCTTTCTGTGGGATTGCCCGTTCCGACTTCTGGTTATCCGTGGGAACCTTAATGCTGCAGGTTACCGCGACCAGGTGCTAGCCCCCGAACGTATTCCATTCATGACCTCAAATGGTCAAGGTCTGCACTTTCAACATGACAATGCCAGACCCCATGCAGCCATCTTGACCGGGAATTGCCTGCAGAAAGCAGGAATGAACGTTCTTTGCTTGCCGTCAAGGTCACCTGATCTCAATCCAGTCAAGCGCATCTGGGATGAGCTTAATTAATTGGTAGAGGTCTGCGCAGTCTCAGAAACCAACCCCAGAATTTGCAGGATCTTGGTGCTCCTTTGCAGGAACAATGGCGCTGACTCCCCAATAATGTGTTTACACGCATCAGACAGTCCATGAGCAGGCGCCAACGCACAGGGTGGCCACACACGCTACTGAACGTTTGAAACATCAGATTTAATTTCTTGTGACATGGCACTTTGTTTACGCCTTTTGTTGATACATTCTGTAACCACATGGAACCGGTTTTGGCATTGTCATTATTCTCAGTTCATCCTATCGACCATAACAAATAAATGATAACTGTATACCACATTCCTGTGCCGTTTCTTATATATATAATTTAATATGTGATTGTGAAGTTTCTAGTTTGACTCAGTATAGTAGATTTGTTTTTGTTCCTATCTTTACTGTGCTGTTTCTTGAAATGAGTATGGTAATGCCAGCACGATAAGGTGAGACACAGACAGGATGCTTATTCAGCCGTGTGTTACAACAGACAATGCAGGCTTTGGTTGTAGTGACTTGATACCAAATCTACAGGAGGCAGACTTGTGTAACATGACTCCCAATTCCGAAATTAACAGGAACGCCGTCCCACATAGAGAACGACGCTTGTCACGACTGACTGAACTGTTGTGTGTTTAGATACATTTCAATACGTTCAACCAAACTTCACTTTGTAAAACAGCTCCTGGATTCCTGTATGAAATCTAGTGATATAAATACCACCGCCAACTTAGTAATACAACTGTATTGCCCGAGAGGAAATTTGTTTCACACCTGATGCTTTGAAAAGATAACAATAGTCTTGTACAGGGGACAAACACATTTAGCAATTAAACATAGGATTTAAAGAGGTATTTGACTCAAATACAAACTAGCAGTAACAATGTATGCTGAGCCTGCTAAGTAATGAGGTAATATAATGGCGTTTTAAGGTGGATGGCAATTAGTGTTACTTATTTAAATTAGCAAATGAATGCTTTGCTGCTGTTACTTCTAAAACGAGGGGTTTAAAAACGGCGTCGGGATGGTAAAAATGTGTATTCAGCTCAGCTCGAAATGAAAGCAAATGTTTACTGAGAAAACAAAAGTTGAACTCATTAATAACATTGACGTTCATTTGGGAAGGGAAACATTTCGAAATATAGTACATGTATGTATCCACATCGGCACGAACTGAGCTCTTCTTCTTGCGGATCTGTTTCTTTATCCAGAATTTCTGTTCAAAATTGCGAAATGAAAACAAGGTAATTTGGCCAAGAGCTTTAACTGAAGCTTTAGATATACCAATGGTCTGACAGACAAAGCTGAACTGGACATAAAGCAGACCTATTCACCAAGATTTTAAAGAGGGTCTAACGTTCTTCTATCAAGGTTACAACATTCAAGGCCTCAGAAAAGCTTACGAATTGATCTTCAGTAACCGATGCTTGTAGTAAGAGGCGACTAACAGGTGGTCAGGCTCGCTGACTTGGTTGACATGTGTCATCATATCCCAGTTGCGTAGATCGATGGTCATGCTGTTGATCACTGGATTGTCTAGTCCAGGCTTGATTATTTACAGACCGCCGCCATATAGCTGTAATATTGCTGAGTGCGGCGTAAAACTAAACTCACTCGCAGTCACGTCAAATGTAGTTGCTACCCTGTGTTCAAGGTGCACCAGCGTCTGTTACGAGATACGGGATGATGACACTAAGCTGGTGACTGACTGGGACACAGACAGCAAGGAGTTTCTCATTACTCTCATTGACCCAGATGGTCACGTGGACAACACATCAGAGGTCACTTCCGCTCTCAGAATCACTGATGGATGCATCGTTGTTGCCGACTGCGTCACTGGTAACATGTTCAATTATATGTAAACAAATCAGCAAGTAATGCTTTTGCTATAAAAACTGGGAACGAGAGTGACACAATTGAAATCCATTTGTTCTAAAGTATAGCACAACATCAGGAGAACGGCGCCTTCACGTCCAGAGGATCTGCTAGATGTGAACTTGGGGAAAAAGAGTGAAAATAATAAAGATTAATCACGGAATCAGTATTAAGTTCTCGAATTAGTGTCAGCTATCAAGTTTCCATTCGAGGCACCTTAAATCACCAGACTTACATTATTCTGCTATTATTAGCGGTACTGGTCTTTTTCTACACATATACTCTGCAAAAATAGAAACGCAAAAGTGTTTTAGATGTATACTTCATGTGCTGCCTAAATAATGAACAGATCATAATCAATTGTTCAAGTTGTCACTGGCCGAGGTTCATCATGGTACGCATGAAACAATTAAATGTCTAGATATCTTGTATGGATCCATTAGAGTCCAGAACTGCCTAGCAGTGTCACCTAATGGAACCAATCATATTACGAATTGTATCCTTGGGAATGTTCACCCACTCTTCCTGCAGTGCTTCTGCCAACTGTTTCAGGATCTGTGGGTGGTGCTGACGTGATCGCAGAACATTCCATGGATGTTCGATTGGGTTTAGATATGGCGACCTTGTGGCCGTTGTCAGTCTTACCGTGTTGCGTCAGGCTGTGTCGTCATAAAAAAATGACGTTTGCTTGTTGCATAAGTGGAAGGACATGTGGCTGAAACATTTCATCTGTGTAACGTTGTGCCGTCAAATTGGCCAGGGTGTGTATCACGTCTGTTATACTAGTATGCGAGATGGTGGCCAGTCGTGGCATGTTTTCACTTGCTGTACAATTGTGATGACAGACAAAAGATAACCCACTGTTTTCATAACCCAACAATTCATGTTGCACCTTCATTTCATGTTGGTGGGTTTTGGCCGCTAAGATCCCACGTGGTTGCAGTTTTGTATGTCCCATCTTTTCGTATTTTTTTGCCGTACTTTATTCTTCACACACAAATCACAATCAACTCGACATGTGAAACTCATTTTTGATATTCTTTCGGTATTAATGTCAGGAAAAGTCCGTCAGAGATTTCAATTTTTTTTCTACTTTTGCGTTTCTTTTTTCAGAGTATATTTTTTTTCTATCTAGTAGTTATAACACTGTGGCTATGAGCGAAAAGAAATTCTATTTCTGCTCAATTAGTTCACATTGTCATACATGGCACATGACGTCCTTAACACGTCAACTTGATGTGAAGGTATAGGAAGTCCGACCGAGGCGCTATTGAAGCTGGCGTTTGTGGAGGAGATCCGCCCCGTGCTGTTGCTGACCCGCCTGGACGTGTCCATAGTGGAGCTGGACCTGGAGCCGGAGGAGCTGTACAAGCTGCTTACCAAGTATGTCTGGACTTTTAACAGGATCGTCGAGGTCTATGGCAGGCCGGAATACAAGGTAGGCAGCAAGGCATCATATTGTCAAGTATAGCTAGGTATAATAGTGAGTGAGTGAGTGAGTAGAGTGAGTAGGGTAGGGTGTGTGTGTGTGTGTGTGTGTGTGTGTGTGTGAGAGAGAGAGAGAGAGAGAGAGAGAGTGAGACATTGTACATACTAATCATAGGGGCACCGATGGTCCATAGTGTGTGCAGACTCAGGTCTGTTTTTGGGAGTTCATACTTCCCGGTTGTCCGCCAGACATCTGGACGATGACTGTGACTTTTGACCAATAAATAATGATCCTCGTCACCCCTCCCACACTGAGCTGAAACTGTGACAATACTAATACTGTTCACAGTGGCGTCAAAATCTTCCTATCATATTTGTATAATACTAGCGAAATCGCTGATTTGTATTACAATATCGAGTACAGACGACTACCATTAATTCTCGTAACCACGGCACACGTGAAGATCTGGGTTAGAACTGGTCTTCAGCAACTCGTGCTTGTCGTAAGAGGCGGCTAACGGGATCGGGTGGTCTGGCTCGCTGGCCTGATTGACACATGTCTTTGCATCCCAACTACGTAGATCGATGCTCATTGGTGATCACTGGAGTGTCTGGTCAAGACTCGATTGTTTACAGACCGGTGTCATACAGCTGGAATATTGCTGGGTGTGGCGTTAAACAACCAATAAGCAAACAAACATCTCCACGACATTGGTATATAACCTTGGTGACCAGTAGAATGTCATTACTTGTCACGTATCCAGATAGTATACAGTTTAAAGTTTCAGATGAAACGGATTTTTTTATTTTTACAACGTGTAACTGTTCCATAGCAATCGTTATGTGACTATCACTTCAGTTGATTCCTGAAGCTTCATTGCATTATGGGGAGTCGGGGTAGCATGGTTAGTCACCTGGGTTCGATTCCCCACATGGGCACAATGTGTGAAGCCCATTTCTCGTGTCCCCCGCCGTGATACTGCTGGAATATTGCTAAATGTGGCATAAAACTCCCCCACTCCCTCATTTCATTATGTGATAAACTCACACGTGATTTTATTTGTACCAACGTTCGTTAATGTCGCTTGTACCTTAGAAATGAATCAAATCAGCTAAGATATCTTTAAAACATATTTGGAGGTTCCCCTTACATAGACAAGAAAGTACCGTATTTATCCTATGCCTGGTTTTGAACGGAACTGCAGGCCATTAAGATCTCCCATGCAATGTTCAAGTACGACCTGTGCACATTTCCCGCTGCAGGTATCCCCTGGTGACGGATCAGTAGCGTTTGGCTCGGCATTGCAAGGATGGGCGTTCACCGTTCACGAGTTTGCCCGCATGTACACGGGGAAATTCAGGATCGAGTTCGATGACATGAAACAGAAACTGTGGGGTAATAACTTCTACAACCAAAGAGAAAGAAAATGGACTACCAACGAAAGCCCTAACACAACCCGAGGTTTCATACAATTTGTGTTGACGCCAATATACACAGTGAGCACTCCTATCTCAATCTGGAGGCCTTGAAGAACCCTCTGAAAGTTACTACTACCCTTTTTATATCAAATGAGGTGCAAACAAGCTTAAAAATATTTGGCTCCCTCTTTCCCGCTTCCCTAATTCCATTGCTGTCTGTAATCCTTAAGTCACTCGGGTACCATGTGATGTCGATTTAGGGAGATAACCGTTGCAGCGCTTTCAAAATCTATATATTCCCCCAATGTTTACGATAAATATATGTGATATTGTCATTTTTCTTATCGTCAATACTTCACGGGCTTGTATACACTACGTTCTTACGGTTGTGTCTGAGTATTCTTCTCACCGTCAATACTTCACGGGCTTGTATACACTACGTTCTTACGTTTGTGTCTGAGTACTCTTCTCATCGTCAATACTTCACGGGCTTGTATACGCTACGTTCTTACGGCTGTGTCTGAGTATTCTTCTCATCGTCAATACTTCACGGGCTTGTATACGCTACGTTCTTACGGTTGTGTCTGAGTACTCTTCTCATCGTCAATACTTCACGGGCTTGTATACGCTACGTTCTTACGTTTGTGTCTGAGTATTCTTCTCATCGTCAATACTTCACGGGCTTGTATACGCTACGTTCTTACGGTTGTGTTTGAGTATTCTTCTCATCGTCAATACTTCACGGGCTTGTATACGCTACGTTCTCACGGTTGTGTCTGAGTACTCTTCTCACCGTCAATACTTCACGGGCTTGTATACGCTACGTTCTTACGGTTGTGTCTGAGTATTCTTCTCATCGTCAATACTTCACGGGCTTGTATACGCTACGTTCTTACGGTTGTGTCTGAGTACTCTTCTCATCGTCAATACTTCACGGGCTTGTATACACTACGTTCTTACGGTTGTGTCTGAGTACTCTTCTCATACTTCATCGTCAATACTTCACGGGCTAATAAACACTAGGACTACGTACATCCACCACGTGTCCTTTTTTATCAATCATCAATGTTTCACACACTTCTGTACACAACATATTAATCACTCTATACAATCTAATCATCAATACTTCACGGGCTCATATAGTCTTTGTTCCTTTACCTTCCTCCTGTACTGTTGGCAAGGCTGTTCTCTGTATACCCTGGTCGAGTACATGAAGTCCACCCGTCCTCTTCTCCGCCGTGGTATTGCTGCAATATTGCCTTCACGCCATATTCCTTTCTCACTCCCACACTGTCAGCGTACATTTAGTTGTGATAGTCTTCGATATCCTGCTTGTATGTCGCTCATCTGTTTTAGTTATTCAACGTATGTACAAGGAACAGCCGAGATGATATCATCAAGTTCGCTGTCACCATGAACTTCTATCTCTCCGACTCCGAGAAACAACTCAGAAGAAATGACCTTTTACTTGTAGGTGATTTTACATTAATGTATAGTAGTAAGTGAAGTTGGTATAATTACACACACAGAACAGAACCGGTAGCCATTGCATTAACCAGCTTGATTTGTACAGTTATAATCATATGATCTCTTCCTCAAAGCATCATGTGTAGAAGTAACGTCTGTGATACATAGGGGATCATTATATATGACGTCGTTTTATCAACGTACTTCAGACATTACAACTTTGGTGTTTTGATCCTTGACCTTTATCATATGAATACCTGTGACAGGTACTTCTGAAGAAGTGGCTTCCCGCCGGTCAAACTCTCCTGAATATGATGGTGTTCCACCTGCCTTCCCCCGTCACGGCCCAGGAGAGGAAGATGGAGGTTCTGTATGAGGGAGACCTGACGGACGAGTGTGCCACCAGTACGTGTATTCTTCTGTCACTTCTTGCTAGGTCAATCCTTCAGAGCGCCCCTTACATTTTATAGATGCCTCAATCCTTTGATTCTTAAGCATAGGTGTCTCTTAATCTTCAAGCTGTTTGCTGACTAATATTCCAGTTTTATTTACCAGTCTCAAACCAATTCCCTTATGTCAATGACGTATTCCAAACCGATTAGGGATGATAGTATACATGCAGTATTTCTATGTATGATTCGATCTGCGATACATTCAGACACACTCAGCAAGATGTCCACATCTCCCACACCTTCATATATGAGGTGACTAGACAGGAGGGTGAATGTTTGGTTTGCCCGATCCAGTTATATATATGTGACCGTGATACGGCTGGACTATTGCTAACTGCTTCTACACTCGTTCAAATCCTGATTTGTCAAAATGAGAAATCTTTTTATGTAAAGATGAAGATTGAATTGTCATACATTGATAAACGATGGATGTTTGTGTCATGCAGGTATGAAGCAATGTCTATGTGTTCTGTGGGTATAAAGTAGTGTCTGTGTTCTGCAGGTATTTAGCAGTGGCTATGTGTTCTGCAGGTATGAATCAGTGTCTGTGTTCTGTGGGTATGAAGCAGTGTCTGTGTTCTGCAGGTATGAAGCAGTGTCTTTGTTCTGCAGGTATGAATCAGTGTCTGTGTTCTGCGGGTATGAATCTGTGTCTGTGTTCTGCAGGTATGAATCAGTGTCTTTGTTCTGCAGGTATGAATCAGTGTCTGTGTTCTGCAGGTATGAAGCAGTGTCTGTGTTCTGCGGGTATGAAGCAGTGTCTGTGTTCTGCGGGTATGAAGCAGTGTCTTTGTTCTGCAGGTATGAAGCAGTGTCTTTGTTCTGCAGGTATGAAGCAGTGTCTTTGTTCTGCAGGTATGAAGCAGTGTGATCCTAAGGGCTGCCTCATGATGTACATCACCCGTCTTGTGCCCTCGGAGGAGGACGGAAGCCTGTACGCCTTCGGTCGCATCTTCTCCGGTTCTGTCCGTTGTGGCCAGATGGTTTATGTCAAAGGACCGAAATCCATTACAGGGAAGAAAAACGAATCCAAAGAAGAGACCGTAGAGAGGTATTGTGGAGTTCAGACATTTTAGTTCGTATATCTATCGTCAGTCCAAACAGAGATTGTTATGTTGCTTGTTGATCCTTGAGGAGTCTTAACGCAACGTGAGTATAGCAAGAGCACATTTAAATATAAAATCTTCTGTACTTCTGAAAAAAGTTGTCATTATCAGACGACACAAACGGTCTTCTAAATGTGATATAAGTGCATTTTTTTTTGGTTCTGAGATGTGTTAAATGGCTGTGTTAATCTGTGTCCGTAGTTGAACTTCTCTGGTGTGTCTCTCCAGATCACCATATGCTATTCTGTGTTTAAGTTCTTGTTTGCGTTCCTCTTTCTGGAAAGGGCGAATTGGACAATTGTGAACCAATGACGTCATAACAGTAAGCCAATAATTACTGACAAGCTTTGACATATCCACATCTCTAAAATAATGAAAGAAACAAATAAACAAGTCATACCTCAACGACGGGATCAGCTTGCCCATGTGAAGGTCAAGGTTGTGGTTAATTGGTAGCTGCAAGGGTATAAATGAACATTCGACTACGTGGCAAGGTGACCGTATGTGAAGGTAATGAATAAACACGTATGACGTGTAAATTCGGTGCATCTCTGCTGGGGATTCTCTTTCCAACTTTCAAGCTCAACATCCGAGGTCAAAGTCCACTTGGTTATTATTCTAATGGGCTGTGTTTTAGTGTGGTCATGATCTACAAGGACGACCCAATAGACATGGACATTGTCCCGTGTGGAAACATCTGCGGCCTGTTGGGAGTGGACAAGCATCTGACAAAGTCGGGGACCATCACGACCAACCAGCACGCAGACACTATCAAGGTAGGTGCTTGACCATCACAGCGAACCAGCACGCAGACACTGACAAGTTAGGTGCTTGACCATCACAGCGAACCATCACACAGACACTGACAAGTTTGGTGCTTGACCATCACAGCGAACCAGCACGCAGACACTGACAAGTTAGGTGCTTGACCATTACAGCGAACCAGCATGCAGACACTAACAAGGTAGGTGCTTGACCATCACAGCGAACCAGCATGTAGACACTAACAAGGTAGGTGCTTGACGATCACTACAAGCCAGCACGCAGACACTATCACGGTAGGTGCTTGACCATCACTACAAGCCAGCACGCAGACACTATCAAGGTAGGTGCTTGACCATCACTACAAGCCAGCACGCAGACACTAGCAAGGTAGGTGCTTGACCATCACTACAAGCCAGCACTCAGACACTATCAAGGTAGGTGCTTGACCATCACTACAAGCCAGCACGCAGACACTAGCAAGGTAGGTGCTTGACCATCACTACAAGCCAGCACGCAGACACTAACAAGTTAGATGCTTGACCATCACTACAAGCCAGCACGCAGACACTATCAAGGTAGGTGCTTGACCATCACTACAAGCCAGCACGCAGACACTAACAAGGTAGGTGCTTGACCACCACTACAAGCCAGCACGCAGACACTAGCAAGGTAGGTGCTTGACCATCACTACAAGCCAGCACGCAGACACTATCAAAGTAGGTGCTTGACCATCACTACAAGCCAGCACGCAGACACTATCAAGGTAGGTGCTTGACCATCACTACAAGCCAGCACGCAGACACTAACAAGTTAGGTGCTTGACCATCACAGCGAACCAGCACACAGACGCTGTCAAGAGAGGCACTTGTTGCTTCATGTTGAAGTAAGTCCCATGCTAAATAATCTATTTTAATGTTGGCAGCACAGTTAAGGTGCTGATTGTATAAATAGTTTACGTCATAATGGGTCGCACATTTTGTATACCATTCATAATGTATGAGACTTTTTTAGTTCTAGCACGTGTTCAATAACTGTCACCTGTCTTCCATGCACAGCCAATACGATACACGGTGCCCCCAGTGGTAACCATGGCGATAGAGCCGCGACAGCCGCCGCATCTACCCACAGTGATGAAAGGCATCAAGCAGCTAGAGAAGATAGACCCCCGCCTTGAGGTAGAGGGGGAGGGGGGAAACAATTTCTGCGCGCGTGGTAATGTCGCTTAGCAGACAAGAATAGTGATGATGATGATGATGATGATGATGATGATGATGAGTGTTGTTTTACTCTGCCTTAAGCAGTACTCCAGCTATATCAGGTTGACCTATTAATCATTGGTAACAGACTAAGGCAGAGAGACCAACGACCCCACAGGAACCCGTTATCGGCATGTAGGTTAAACATGGACCATAGGTCTACACGCACGTCACATATATAAATATAAATCTTTACTCTATTTATATATGTGACGTGCGTGTAGACCTATGGTCTATGTTTAACCTACATGCCGATAACGGGTTCCTGTGCATTGTACACTAAATGATGATTATGATGATGATGATGATGATGATGATGATGATGACATCTGCAGACTGAGCTATCCAAGGAGGGGGAACTAAGCATCAGCGGCGTGAACGAGGCCCACATCAACCGAGCGCTGGAACAGCTCAGCCAGTTACTTGGCAAAGTCCAAGTGAAGACGAAGGGTCCCTTCCTTCCCTACCGAGAAACTGTGACAACAGAGTCGACAGAAATGTGCCGATCTCAGTCCCCCAACGGTAGCAACTACCTTTGCCTAAAGGCGCAAAACCTGCCCAATGGCATCACCGAAGACATTGAAAATGTAATGCTATGGTTACCACATACTGTTTCAGATAGTTTTATTCATTCATTCTACAGACTGAGGTACAGATTCATTCCTTAACAGTCATATATAAATACCCATATATTAATAATAATCATAATGTAATAATAGTATGATGTCCCGACACTGTTTAATGTGTAAGTATGATGTCCCGACACTGTTTAATCTGTTAGTAGAATGTCCCGACACTGTTAATGTGTACATATGACGTCCCGACACTGTTAATGTGTAAATATGATGTCCCGACACTGTTTAATGTGTAAATATGATGCCCTGACACTGTTTAATCTGTATGGATATGATGTCCCGACACTGTTAATGTGTAAATATGATGACCTGACACTGTTCATATGTAAATATGATGTCCCGACACTGTCAATGTGTAAATATGACGTCCCGACACTGTTAATGTTTAAATATGACGTCCCGACAATGTTAATGTGTAATATGAAGTCCCGACACTGTTAATCTGTAAATATGACGTCCCGACACTGTTAATGTTTAAATATGACGTCCCGACAATGTTAATGTGTAATATGAAGTCCCGACACTGTTAATATGTAAATATGATGACCTGACACTGTTCATGTGTAAATATGACGTCCCGACACTGTTAATGTTTAAATATGACGTCCCGACAATGTTAATGTGTAATATGAAGTCCCGACACTGTTAATCTGTAAATATGACGTCCCGACACTGTTTATTCTGTAAATAGGATGTCCCAACACTGTTAATGTGTAAATATGACATCCCGACACTGTTAATGTGTAAATATGATGTCCCGACACTGTTAATATGTACTTATTACGTCCCAAAACTGTTTATTCTGTAAATAGGATGTCCCAACACTGTTAATGTGTAAATATGACATCCCGACACTGTTAATGTGTAAATAGGATGTCCCAACACTGTTAATGTGTACAAATGACATCCCGACACTGTTAATGTGTAAATATGATGTCCCGACACTTTAATGTGTAAATTTTGGGAGGGCGTGTTCTGCTGTGTATAAAAGATAAAGAAAAATATATTTTCATAGACATACAAAGAAATTGATAATGACTGCTGTATTATTCATCTTAATATGCTGGAGAAGGGAGACACACAGAGATGATGGTGTGTGTTTCTTTGACTGCCAATATTGCGTTTAGCATGCAACATGACAATTAACAAATTAATGCTTTGGACAATGTTTTCCCACTATACAGCACTCTTGTTTGTGAGTCGGACAATCGATCCTGATATCTTTCAGCTAATCAATTTCCCAATGGGGGTTCAGGAGCGTTAACAGATTCACCATTTGTCCTGGGAGGACACCACTTTGCATTAACATTTAAAGCATAATTGAAATACTCAGTTCAGTTAAACCACTTCCGGCGTATCATAAACTTACGTATCACTCGGGAATAATCGATTAATCGATTTCTGAGGCATGATACCGCAGGCCTCCAACTCAATGTGATCTCACTGTGGTAGGGACAATGGTGGGTGTTGCAGGAGGTTTCATGCCTGTGTAGACATCCATGGGACCTATTCCCAAACCCATGCCGCCTTAAGGCAATTGTTGAAACTCCAGCTAACCATCGAGCAGAAGACAATAGGAATCCCGGCGTGTTTATTTGCTGGGAGAAATTAAATCGATAAATGATTATTTCATTGTGGTTTGAATGTAACTTCACGGACCATCAGAGACACTCTATAGGATAGATCCTAGACTGGAGGAAGGAGTGCCTGTTGACGTACGGTTGTATATGTCTACGTCAGACAGGAGGTCGTGCGTGTATGGACACTAGTATGACTCCTGACACCGACTACATGACTTTCAATTTCAAAAAGATCGCAAAAAGAGCACATATACATAAAGAAAATACTTATGCACCATTGCTGGCACGCTCCCGCAACTAGTAAACCTTGAAATCATGAAGTGATACCCTAAATTTACATCTTATTAAATATTTATTGAACATGTTAATTATAAGGGGTTTCCTTACACACAGGGCCACATCTTTATGGTCAAGTTTCAATTAGACACGTTGAACAGATACCCTATGGGTGGTGTTGATAGACGTAATGTAACGAAAAACGACTGGTTTTGTTACATTGGTTTGATCAAAGAAGACATGCACGTTTATAAAAAAAAACATAAGCTGCCGACAATAATCAGAAATACCTCTGTCAACGCCCTGTTAATGGGCTCAGTCTTGGACTTTGTAACCATGTATAAGAATATGTAGCTTTACTGCAATGGTATAGTAATAAATATTCCCATCTTGCAAGGCTAGATCAATTTTTGAAATGATGCAAATGCCCTCGATAGAGACCCCTAGCAGTACAGTAAAACGAGGTTCAAGTGGCACTTTTGGATTTTACGCCTCTTTTACCAAACCTTTAGCAACATCACGGCTTTGGACAACAGAAATGGACCTCGTGAATTTTACCTATTTCGGGAACTGAACCCGGACTTGGCTGGATGAACATAGGCTGAAAACAACGATTCTAGGACTAATACATAACTCCGTGACACTTATATCGCGAATGTATATACATAACGTATTTCGGCGGGGACAGTGAGATTTCTTATTTTTAATGAGCGGTTATTTTGCTTGCAGGGAGTCATCACCCCGTTCCAGGATGCTAGAGAACGCGCCCTGTACTTGGACAGTAAATATAGTATTGATCTCACCTATGCTAAGAAGATCTGGTGTTTCGGGCCGGAGGGCGTGGGGCTCAACTTGCTGATGGACTGCACGAAGGGGGAGCCCAAGTACCTACAGGACATAGAACCCACTGTGATTGCAGCTTTCCAGTGGACGACTAAGAAGGTAGCTAACTTGACACGCTAAGTCTATGATGTGTAAATGCCGTTTTCAACTGTATCTCATTACTAATATTATCAATTGTTTTAAAGATATCGGCATTATATTTAAAGATCTTAACAATATTTTTAAGATATTTTCAAAAGTTGAAGATTTTTCACTTCATATCTGATATTGAAAGCTGCATTACCGATATCTTGAAATAGCATAAAATAATTCAAGATGACTTGAAATAATATATACATATCTACAAACGCATTACAGATTTCATTAATTCGTATAAGATGTATTTGATTCAAATAGAGATATCGTTAATTACATTCAAGATATCTTCAGTTCTGACTGTGACTGATATCGTTATATCAATTGGTGATATATGTAATACAAGTAACAAAAAACAAATTATTCCGGTCCCCAAAAGGGTAAGAAATGATTTACAGATATCTTGAAATACTTCCGGCTACATATCCATTAATATCCAACAAACGGTATCGTGTGAGCTTGGCTCTGTCTTTACATCCCGCAAGTTGTTGGGAAAATCATTTCAAAAAGAGAGTTATCGCCCTTTCGAATAAAATCACCTAATCGAGATTTTTTAATGAGATCTGTTTTTAATTGCCGGGTATGTAAAATTGAATTTCGGATATCATTAAAAACATAAATTTGTTTGAATATTCAATTCTATTCTGATATTTACGTCTTTTCTGAAACCAATGATCACAGATATTGGGCTTGCCAGCGTAGAAACATAACCAATGTGAATCTGGGATTCAAACCCACGATCTAAAGCGGCCTTCACACGGGAAACTAAAGTTTGACAACTCATGTTAAAATTTTAAAAGTTGTCAAACTCGCGATTTCTCACGTCAAACACATGTTGTCAAACGTTCGTGTCATTTGAGCGCCATGTCTCTATCGGTGCGGTCACATGACAATTTTGTTGACTGCGATTGGTTGTTTCTGAACAACACGCGTTTGACAACACCGAAAGTTTGATGGAAAAGTTGGTGAGAATAGAGCCCGATCCTATTTCTCGACAACAGTTTGAGAACTCTGAAATTGGTGTTGGTGGCGAGTTGTTGGAATGTTCACACTCTCAAACTCGTGCTTTAGAGTTGACTTCGAAATCCTTCATAGAAAGCAATACAGGGTTGCGTCCCTTACCATAACCGTAACGTTGGTCTATAATCACCGCGTTTGAAGTCTGTATCATTATGGTAATCGTCCATGACAAAAGCTGAGTTATACCCAACTTACTCAGATACACATTGTGTAATCTATGCTGTGACACGTCGCCTGACTGAGGCTGTTATCCGTAGGGTGTGCTGTGTGAGGAACAGATGCGGGGGTCCGCTACAGCCTGCACGAGGTCATGCTGCACGCTGATGAGGAACAGCGCGGGAACAAGGAGATATTCCCTGCAGCCGCCAGGGCGCTAAGTGCAGCCACACTCAGAGCCAAACCAAGACTTATGCAGCCTATGTTCAAGACATACCTAGAGGTGCGTCCATTCTCTTTCTTTCTCTGTTCAGTGATGTTCTTAGTGGTGCTTGTTGTTCACATACTTACAGCTCATTGTGAAACTTTCGTACCAAGGCATTCTGTGAAACAAGGGCGGTGACATTTCTTACAAACTGCCTGTGAAAATAAATTCAACCATGACTTCAGTAAACACTGGATTGTGATTGGTTAATTAAAGTCATTCAGAGGTATATAATCACGTTATACAGGTCTCTGATTTTCCGTGCGCAATCATACATGGTTTACGGTAATGCACTTTTTTTTGTCTGCCCACCAACATGGCGGACACCAAACAACCTACCGATGCATCGATAAATTACGGCTATTTTGTACGAAAGCCCAATGCTGCCACTTTTGTAGCATAATATTTTTTTTCTGATACAATTCTCGTTGCTTCGAATATTTTACTTGTTACTTCGAGTATTTTCTCGTTATTTCAATAAGTTTCTCGTTACTTCGAGTTCTTTTCTCGTTACTTCAAGTTTCTATCAAAAACTTGAAATTTCAAATATTTTCTCGTTATTTCAAGTTTCTGTCAAAAACTTGAAATTTCGAGTATTTTCTCGTTATTTCAATAAGTTTCTCGTTACTTCGAGTTCTTTTCTCGTTACTTCAAGTTTCTATCAAAAACTTGAAATTTCAAATATTTTCTCGTTACTTCAAGTTTCTGTCAAAAACTTGAAATTTCGAGTATTTTCTCGTTATTTCAATAAGTTTCTCGTTACTTCGAGTTCTTTTCTCGTTACTTCAAGTTTCTATCAAAAACTTGAAATTTCAAATATTTTCTCGTTACTTCAAGTTTCTGTCAAAAACTTGAAATTTCGAGTATTTTCTCGTTATTTCAATAAGTTTCTCGTTACTTCGAGTTCTTTTCTCGTTACTTCAAGTTTCTATCAAAAACTTGAAATTTCAAATATTTTCTCGTTATTTCAAGTTTCTGTCAAAAACTTGAAATTTCGAGTATTTTCTCGTTATTTCAATAAGTTTCTCGTTACTTCGAGTTTCTTTTCGTTACTTCAAGTTTCTATCAAAACTTGAAATTTCAAATATTTTCTCGTTATTTCAAGTTTCTGTCAAAACTTGAAATTTCGAGTATTTTCTCGTTATTTCAATAAGTTTCTCGTTACTTCGAGTTCTTTTCTCGTTACTTCAAGTTTCTATCAAAACTTGAAATTTCAAATATTTTCTCGTTATTTCAAGTTTCTGTCAAAAACTTGAAATTTCGAGTATTTTCTCGTTATTTCAATAAGTTTCTCGTTACTTCGAGTTCTTTTCTCGTTACTTCAAGTTTCTATCAAAAACTTGAAATTTCAAATATTTTCTCGTTACTTCAAGTTTCTGTCAAAAACTTGAAATTTCGAGTATTTTCTCGTTATTTCAATAAGTTTCTCGTTACTTCGAGTTCTTTTTCTCGTTACTTCAAGTTTCTGAAAGAAAGTTGAAGGAACGAGAAAAATACTCGAAACAACGAGAAGGGGACGTCCTAAAACTCGGGCCGGGCCGAGCCGGGTCAAAGTGGGCCAAGTATATAATTGGCTACAACATTGATTATCGAAAACCATGTCTACAATTAATTAATCCAGCTTACATCCATGGCAATATGGGCAGCAGGAAGCCACACACATGTGTCATAATAACCTTATTACGAGTAAATCGCCTAAAACTCAGGAAGACGAGTGGCCTGTGAAAGTGGCCAAGCAAGGTTACGTCTAAAAGAGAAGTCGTTAAATGAAACAGGATTCAAAACGTATAAATACTTCAGTCAATCCCTATATACATTTCTGTCGGCCTGCAAAGGATTTTACAAATACTACCTCAGTTCACTGTTCATCGTATTTAAAGCATGCCCACAGGTAAATGATACGATCTTTCTCCCACACTTTGACAATTGTTCGGTTCTGTTTGGCCCGGGCCGTCAAAAGCTTCATAGATCTCACACACATGTATCTTGAATTTTGTTTAGATCCATAGATCAGTATTATATCTACCTTAATATAATTTTCAATGTTACAAAATGCCACATGTAAAGATTAAAGTGAAGCCCGTTTCCCCTCCATTCCAAACATATCCAGCCTCTATCAAAAGTGTTAAGTCTCTGACTTGTCCCGGGCCATAATAAGAAACTTAAACATCACACATGGATCCTGAATTGTAGATATATCTAGTTATAGCTACCTAAACCCTCTTTATGAAGTCTCAGATTGAAGTAATTTGAACGATCACGTTGCTCAAGCGGGGCCCTTAGCCTCATTCTCCACATGTCACAAGTCATCGGACCACTGTCATATGAATCCCTTTTCTCATATTTGTTTGGTCTGTAGCGTTCCATGGCAAATATCAAACCGATACCCATCGAATGTTACCATTTAAAAGTATGCCAGAAACACAGGCGAACAACCTGCCTAATATAAGGTAGTATTGTTGTGTTGTTGTTTTGTTAACCCTTTCACGTACGAATCATAATACTATGTATCATTCACACTCCGATATGGTTGTCAACATATATATGTAGTATGGATGCACTCAGTTCGTCCGTTGCGTCAGTTTTTAAAAGTAAAGAAAGAAAAGACATTGCCCACGCAAACAAACATGAAATAATAGCGACAAAGCGCCTTCCATATCCATAAGAAATCTCTTAGAAAAGCAGAGTCGATAGTAAACGTTCGGACTATATTATGAGTATTTGTAAATATCGAGTCTAGGCCAGACAATCAATTGGTGGACATAATGACAGAGCATATGTTTATGAATTACTAGATACCAGGTGTTCTCGAAAAGGTGTGGGTATCCTGTCCCACTATATGGACATCCTAGGGAATTGTTCACCTAGGAAAGATTAGGGAACGTATGGTACAAGTCTAAATAGGGAACTGCAACGTGTACCATTTGTCACTGGTGCAAAACATTTTGAGAATTTTGCTACCTTCTGTGATGCAAGTATCTTACCTTCACCGACTGCTTAGTGGTGGCAGATAAAGCAGCTGTCAGTTGGGACAGGAAAGAAGAAGATATGGTTTTAAGAACAAATCAACATCTCGCAAGGGGAAATGGGCGTATTTCAGAGACTAGCCATTTTGATTGACTCTGTTGGGAATGGAGAGGGAATAGGGCTTCATTTTAACGGACCAATCATCTTTACATGTGGCATTTTGTAACAATACAAATTGATATTTAGGCAGATGCAATACCATTCTATAGATATAAATACAATGCTGGATAAGGTTTAGGTTTAAGGTGCTTTTGGGAGCCCGGGCAAGACGGAACCGATATCATATAGCAACTATTTTGAGGATATAGAAAAGGGGGCATCACTTTACGCAACGTGTTTGCTTCAATCACTACGCAGTAACTCTAGAAAATTAACATAGCTGTAAGAGCTTTAACCTGTATTTAAACATGTCACATTTACCCGCTGACATTAGCCAATATCCACTTCGCATTAACATAAACGGCCTGTGCTGATTCTGCATGAGGTAATAAAGGTTAATTAGGGAACCTCAATATTTTAATTAAGTAAAGAAATGAAGTCAAAACACTGTCACTTCCTGCCCAGGGCGTCACACGCTAAGAGAAGTAAGTAACCTTCTCACATAGACATATCAAGGGAAACACATAACAACAAGACGGTGTCTTTTTTACGTGACTCTTAGTATGTAGTCATAGTTTTCTTTTTATTTCATCGTTAAACATACATTTTCAATCAAACTATACATTTGTGATGGCAGGAAGTGTTTCTCCCCAAATGTGTGGATTTCGTTTTAATATTCTGCAATCCATTTTTAGTAGTACCCGGTGACCCGACCGGGCCCGACTTTTCTTGGCCCGAGCTTTAGGTACTCCCAACGAGAAGTTAATCGAAGCAACGAAAAAAATAATTGAAGTAACGAGTAAATACTCGAAATTTCAAGTTTTTGATAGAAATTTGAAATAACATGTAAATATTTGAAATTTCAAGTATTTGACAGAAACTTGAAGCAACGAGAAAATATTCGAAGCAACGAGAAACTAATCGAAGCAACAAGAAAATAATTGAAGTAACGAGAAAATACTCGAAGCAACGAGTAAATACTCGAAATTTCAAGTTTTTGAAAGAAACTTGAAGCAACGAGAAAATATTTGAAATTTCAAGTTTTTGAAAGAAATTTGAAGGAACGAGAAATTAATCGAAGCAACGAAAAAATAATTGAAATAACGAGAAAATATTCGAAGCAACGAGTAAATATTCGAAATTTCAAGTTTCTGACTGAAACTTGAAGTAATGAGAAAATATTTGAAATTTCGAGTTTTTGATAGAAACTTGAAGTAACGAGAAAATACTCGAAGTAACGAGTAAATACTTGAAATTTCAAGTTTTGAAAATACTTGAAGTAACGAGAAAATACTCGAAGCAACGAGAAAAAACTCGAAGTAACGAGAAAATTATTGAAATAACGAGAAAATTATTGAAAAAACGAGAAAATACTCGAAGTAACGAGCACATAATCGAAGCAAAAAAATATTTGAATTGTAGCAGAAAAATATTTGTGCTACAAAATCACAGTGGCATACATACAAAAGTACTTCGCATTAGCTGCTTTCCGAATAAAAATTCAGCAAAACAAATATGTTTACGTTGATTCTATGTTATGTCAGAATAGATCCAGCAATAGACTGCTACATAATTTCCGTGTTATATTTATTATCAGCTTTCGTCAACGATATCGCCACTGATCTTGATCCGGTAACGGAGGATGCATTAACATCGAACGCCGAAGAAATGTTAATGCCTTCCGTCCACATAAATAAACAGTTTGGTTATCAATTCAAACAAAATGATATTTTGAAATTTGTTGTGTTTCAAATTTAGCGGTAGTAAAACACAATTACAGAATCTGCAAACCGTTCTGTTTAGCCCAACATATTTTTTTTCTAAAAGTATAATATCGTTGAAAAAGTTATTTAGCTTAGTCATGATCCCTCTTATCCATTACACTGCTTGATCTAAAGTAGTCTATTAAAGTATAATTAATTACCTTACCGTGTTTATGCCAGAGGTACACCCTCATGTCCTGATCCATCCTTTCGGAAATATCACCACAAATCTGGCTCTTTGACAACAGACTCGCGAACATGCCAGCGAATCCGATTCAGTTTGAAGCCACTAGGTCTCAAAACACTTTCCAAAATGTAGAAAATAATATCCGTAGAATCGAATTTGAGCACAAAGTACACACATGAGTGTGTAAGAGTCACCACAGCTGTCGCACGCAGACGTAGAGGTGCGTGAAATCGTCAAGTTGACAGGGCGCAAAATTCAACAGTATCTAAATTCGGTACAACACGGACTTCTCGTTACAGCAAAAGCGCCTCTACTCTTAAATTTTGTACCAGTACCAGTAATAATTAGATATCAAAGACTATCTCAGTTATACAATCAGGTTAACCTTGCGCAAACTGTCAGAGGCTCTCCTGTCGCATCTTTCCAAATTTGCACGTAAATGTAAACAATGACTTCCGAGAAAAGGTCAAGGCCATGAGGTTGCTGCCATTATTCTGGTGGGGAAAGGGTCTACGGTGGAATTTTCAAATGTGAACCAAGCTTTTTAAACTTATTTGATATATGTTTTCCAACTTATCAGTTAATGATTGGTGATTGATGCATTGAAAAAACAAAACGTGATTTGTTATTACTGAATCTGGAGTTTGTTAGTCATTGACGGTTTGCCACCAATCACCCCGTTTCGGGCGATGCCACTTGAGATTGGAATGCGAGGCCGCTTCACGTATTGACTCGTAACCAAAGAAAGAGCTCCACCTGAAATTGTTCATAAAATTGTCATGGTAGAATGGAGATAAACCAACTGTGTTGGAAAATCAGAGGTATATAAACAATTTAGAGCTATTATAATTTCGTTATATACCTCTGATTTTCCCACACAGTAGGTTTATCTCCTAAGTATACAACCATGTTTCATAGTGGCTTAAAATGAGAAAGAAATTATTATTGAGTTTTCGTGTGTCTAATTTCTTTTGATAGGCGGTTTATGTAATGACGATGTAGGTCAGTGAGTGAGTGTGATTTTACGCTGCTTTTGACAATATTCCAGCAATATCACAAAAATATGGACACAAAAAATTGGCGTCATTGTACCCATGCGGGGAATTGAAACCCATTCTTCGGCGTGACGAGCGAACGCTTCAACCACTAGGCTACCCTACGGCCCCGATAACGATATGTATCAGGTTCCAGCAATGTTATAGCAAGATCATGGCAACTAACCGAGTGTCAGTCAGACGCACCGGTAGCATTGCTTACGACTTCAATGACACGCAGTCACACATATATCCTCCTTTTATACATCTTTTATGCATATAAGACAATAGGGTCCCTGAAACGTCTGTGCTCAAAAACAAGTCAGAAGGGAGCATAAAATAAAAATTCATTTTATTTTTTCAATGTGGTCTAGTGATAACCAAACGTTAGTAGTTTGATAGTATTACCTTTTTTTTGTCCCTGTTCCAGTGCCCAGAGTCCGTCTCCCCGGTGGTGTTCGAGGTGGTCAGTGGCCGTCAGGGCCGGGTTACCAAGGAGCGGAGTGTCAAGGATTGGGACACGTACTACATGGAGGCTGACATCCCCGTCAGCAAGGCCTTCGGTGAGTGGCACACACAACCGGTATATGTACTACTGTCTCTGTGTGGCCTGACAGGGTCTTCCCTGTTTCAGTGTGGTCTGACAGGGTCTTCAGCAAGGCATTCGATGGGTGGCACATACAACTGGTATATATGTACCGCTTTCCCTGTCTCTGTGTGACCTGACAGGGTCTTCAATGTCTCAGTGTGGCTTGAAAGGGTCTTCCCTGTTTCAGTGTGGTCTGGCGCTTGGACACTTCCACAAAACATAAAAGGTGCTTCGTCTAAATGCTGTGTTAAATCATAGGAGTTACGTCCATCTTGGAGGAAGGTTCTATAGGCAGACGGGTTGTGTGCTTTGTACTGTCCGCGGTGATTTGCACCGTTGCTTAAAATCAAACGTGTTGCTTGCAGTGGATACGTGGCCATACGTTGGTATGAAGTGATGTCCCTTTTGTGGATCATGATACACAGACTACAATGGTGTATTTGATGTAGAAATCAGAGTTGGCTCAACTTCACTCTTTTTTCTAGGCTTTGAGTTTTATCTATCTTCCAGAGCATTGTCCATTATCACAATTAGAGCGGCCACCTTTAACATCCGCAATCTGTGAAACGTTCCCGATGTTGATGGAAAACGACGTCTCTGTCACACGATTATATAAAACCGCTTTAGACTAACCTGAATACTTAACATAGTGGTGGTACAGCTGGACACTAAAACATAGGACGGGAAACATTTACAGTTTTCAACTGATATATGAAGCAATGAAACAACAACGTGTTCATTTCAGGTTTAGATCAGGAGCTCTCGTCCAAGACTGACAACGCCGCGAGGCTAGTACAATGCACGTTCGGTCAATGGGAGACGCTAGCCGGCAGCCCACTGGACTACCGCTCCAAAACCACAGCTATTATAAGGGCCATTAGGAAACGTAAAGGTTTGGACCCGGAAATGCCGTCTGTGGAAGACTTCCTGGACTGAAGGGCATCCAGTGATTCAAGGAAGCAAGTAGACCTCTGGTCTCGAAGTCACGAGATATTTGTTAAATTGTTGTGAGCACAGAAGGCGATTTTTACGTTGAGCTATCTGATCACATCTTCACTTTTGAGTAATACGTCATTTCCTCTTGGCATATTTTCATAAGCAAACATAAATCTCTTGAATCGCCGCTGTATTACAGTTTAACGTGTTTCGCTTTTCTTTTGGAACTGTGTATATTTTACGTAGGGTATTGTGTGTATAAGATATTGGTGAACCAAATGGTTGAAGCGTTTACATGTCAACGAATACACGAGTACAACTCGAGAAGGGGATTATTGTCAACTGCAATGTTATTGTCGCAGATTATTAAAACTTCCTTGAACACCTGCTCACTGTTTCACACCATCAAGGTGTGTACATGTATATTGAAGTGACCCAGAAGTATTGGGCGATTCGATTTGCTGTGACGTCTTGTTTGACTTATCAAGTCCCAATCCCATGTAACCCATGTTCACCATCAGCAAACCTCCTGTGCTGGTCAAATCAAACACCTATTTCACACGTCTAGTTTTCGATACAACACAGCTGCTAAGCCAGCTAAGCTGCACCAAACGTTTATACAAATAAATGAAAGCCAAAATGGTCCTTATATGTGCATTTGTATGTATAATGCATCCATATGCATACATGATTTACCTCACGGCCCAACGAGGACATTTGTAACTTCCAGTCTGCAATTTTCAGAGAAACACCTGTAGCAGTCGAACCACGTGAGAGAGGGGTAATAAAGACACGTGTTGTTTGAGGTGTTCCGCTGTTTAATTAGGATATAAACGTACTGTTTGAACATCAGATCAATGTTAGACCGAATTGATAGTCTCAAAATGTCATTTGAAACGAAACGCGTCCAATCAAATTCGAGTATTTCACGTAGTCATGGTAGAATTATTTGTGTTTATCTGGTCCGGACTCGATGGTTCACAGACTACATGTCAGTAATATGTCATGATAACATCAACTCACTATACGGACTCTGATATACATGTATCATTCCGATAAGTGTTCAGTGTGCCGTGAATGACCGAGCCGATAACAGAGTATTGATTTCACCTCTTATATGCGTTTTCAGTCTGTCCATTTGTGGCTTATTAAACGGCCTGAGCTTAAAGCTTTTGTGTTTTCAAACATCGAACAGTGAAAGTTATATAATGGGTGAGTCTGTTGAGTTTAACGCAACTTTCAATTGTAAACTTGTTTATCGCAGCATTAACTGTATATACATAAGACTTAGGAGACAATGTATAGTTTTGATAATCCTATAGTTCAGTCACAAGAGAAGTTCCAAAACAAGTGACGGCATAACAGACCAAGTTAACTCGGTTCGCAACGAGACATCATTAAGGGACGATGGAAGCACGGTTGGTCCACTGGTCTGAAATGTCGTAAGAGTTGCGTCCCTTGGACATGCCTGACTACTAAGATAATGGGTTCGAACCCAAGATTCACCCTGAATATAATTCTCTACACCTGGGTTCAGTAACCCATGCTTGTCGTAAGAGGCGACTAACGGGATCGGGTGGTCAGGATCGCCGACTTGGTTGACACATGTCATCGTATCACTATTGCATAGATCGATGTTCATAATGTTGATCACTGGATTGTCTGGTCCAGAATCGATTATTTACAGACCGCCGCCATGTAGCTGGAATATTGCTGAGTGTGGCGTAAAACTAAACTCATTCACTCACTCTCACATCAAGAAATAACTGAAATACTATTCAAAGCTGCGTTAAACCATACTCACCAGATCGATCTTTGTAAAATTGCCTTTGTTCATTTTTTTTCAATATTCAATATTTACCAAGAAAAGTCATATTTATACAGAAGTAAATTTGTAAAATAGATTATCCGTATGTATAAAATATATGATATAAGTAATGCTTTATGTAAATTTCACTGTTGACTCCGCGTCAAAGATATGTCATTGTAATGTACTTTGCAGTCAACGTTTTTACAACCTGGCAAAGGATATCATGTATGCTGTTGAATAAATCATATTTTGTTTTACTGGAATCGTATTGTTGAATATTTTGTGAATGTAAATGTTAACCCTAACCCTAACCCGAACCCATATATAGGCAGAGGAAACTATTTCTTCGGGGAAACCCGCAACATATAACAAATTACAAAATTGGAGTGAGTGAGTTTGTTTTTAAACCGCATTTAGCAATATTCCAGCAATATCATGGCGGCGGACACCAAATGGGCTTCACACATTGTACCCAAGTAGGGAATCGAACCGGGTCTTCGGCGTGACGAGCGAATGCTTTAACCACTAGACTACCCCTTCGCCCGTACATAATTAGAGGTAATGTGCAATGTGAACGCTGGGGACGGTAGGTTTACCACTCGTGCAACATAACGGAGTTATCGGACTTTGAACGGCGGGTTCATATAAACTGAGGCAGTGAAGGCTTGGACTTTGACCATTCAGACAATTGTAAATTAACGCGCCCATCTCCAAGCGGCAGGGGTTGGAATGATTCACGCCTCAGAATTTTCGTCTGAATACGTGGCAGAAAACAGTATGACGGAGACTTACATCTTAGTTCCACTTAAATGTAACCATGGTGGGTTATGAAGAATTCCACAGCATACGTGAGTGACTGGATCTTATTGTACACAGTTGTAACTTAGAAAGTGTAAAGCTTCTAGAGGGGTGGAACTTGTGAGAAAATTTGAGCATTGTTGGTGTAGTGGCCATAACATTTCCTAATCTCGTGCTGGGATTCAAGCCATGGACCTTCTTATCTGAAGTCGGACGCCTTGTCCACATGAACCAAGAGTCTCACCCCGTCACCAAGCTGACATGGTAAGGATATCATCTGTGGGATGACGTCACGCCCTGCTGCATTGACATGCATGGTTAACATCAGATGTAATCCTCCTCCTTAAATTAACAACCAATCAATTTGCTTTCAGCTGCAACTGGTGTCGGAGGGAGAAGGTCAAAACGGGTTTAAATATAATTAAAACGGACTTGGAAAAGAGGAAAAATAGACACAACGCACAGCCATACATATACAAGTCATAACGCCACAACAAAAATGACAGAGCGGCCACTCAGAAAGATACTTACCCGACTATTGTTTGGCATGATTACACAATGCCATTCAGAAAGTGGTCAAATGTAACATATGTAATATTTGGGATTACACTTTCTAAGTAAAGTACAGATTATAGTACTTTTGGGTTGAGTCCCATGCGGGATTCGAACCCACACTCTCAGAGTCAGGCACCTAACCGCCAGCGTGGGTTCGAATCCCGCATGGGACTCAACCCAAAAGTACTAGAATCTGTACTTAACAAAGAAAGTGTAATCCCAAATATAACAAATATATTGTTTGGCATTAATCATAGTATATACATGGTATTTGAATCAAGGTAATATAAACTTTTGTTAGAATTTCACGACCAAATTCTGAAAAAAAGGTTATATTTAAAAAAAATAAAACCTTTTTTCATGATAAACCGATTTGTATGAAAAGCAACGATTTACATTTTTTCATTTTGGTACTTGTGGATCTGATGTTAGTTATGTTCATTAGCAATGTACATCCTTCATTTCAATATTATGGAACTGAGAGAAGACAAATCATACACTGTACAATATGATTCAAACTGCAATGACATGAGTTTGATCGTTTTGTTGTTACGAATAATCGGAATATGTCGAACTGCAGTTGTGTTTCATATATTTAACGGCTTTAAACTACCTTTATATATCATAAGGAATATCCATATCATTCGCCATTCATTTGAACTGATCTGGAACAGAGGCATACTTCTTTTGTACTCGGGGGTATCGTCCTGGTATTCAGGGTGAATAAAATTATTTTACGAGTTAACTGGTCACGGTGTTGCCAACTGTTGGACGGTTGTTTTACCACCCAACTTGTTCAAGCATAAAGGAGTTATCGGACTTACAGATATGGTTTCGTATTAACTATTCATTAACTATCGCATTAACAACGAATTAAGGGCAATAAATTTTGAGATTTGAGTATATATTTTTTGCATAAAACAAGAATGGTGACAGTTGGGTCATGTCATATACATATTTACTTAGACAAGCTAACTCGCTTTACATAAATATTCCAAAATGGCCGCGCCCATCGCGACAGCGAGAGAAGGTGGGGACGATTCACGACTTTACCCCCCGACTGTAGATGACAGTGACATAGATGTCAGTTATTCTATGTGTCTGTTCGTTAATTTTATGAGGATGATTAAATCTAGTAGTAGTATGTTACTCATGGCAACTGAATCTCCCCTGTTTACAAAGCTATATATAGAACAGACAAGCACTTTCACTAGATTCAGGTGGTTGAAACGGCCACCTAGTTGGATGGAGGCTAAAACGGCAGTAGAAACACGTAAAAACGGACAAAAAGCCATGGACTAAAGCATCACAAAATTAGATAAATAATCTTCGAATCTTCACTTCCATAAAGCTTACAGACTGCCAACTCAGTGTTTTTAATTCAATTGCACATATTGTATTGAGCATATTGAGAAAATAAAACATGGTGCATTGTTTTAGCTAACAAGGTCTACAAACACTTTTACAAAACATAAGAAACGTTATGTCATCCTAAGTCATCAGTACAAACAAGTAGACACCCCATAATATACATGGCAGATGCAATAGAACTCACACAGGTAGAACATTGAGATATAATCAGATGAAAAACAGAAACTGTATTTTTTCTGCATATATGAAACACAACAGTCTACATGCCAAGTTTATCCTGTTTTTGCTTCAGGCACAAATAACCCCGGGACCTGATGTAGTGACAATGGGGACAGTGGCTCGACGAATACAACTTGAAATATTGGTGATACTGGCAGCAACAGCGTATGTCTTGTTTGAAGCCTGGAGCACCTTCAGTGTACGATTATCAGCATGTGTTACAGGTAAGACATGATGAAGATGACTGTGGTTTGCTTGGTCCAATTATTATAGCTTCGGAATATGTGGCTTGGTCTCCAATATTTGATCAAATCATTAGGAATTATGTGCATGATTATTAGGGATTTTATGTTAATATATTTTCATAAGAGCAGTTTTTTTTCATAATAATAAAAAGGCATAGTCTTTGTGATAGACTGAAGTCGATACAAAACATGTTTCATTGGAAATGTTTTTGTTCATTAGTGTGCCTCTGTTGTCAATTTTTGACACTGACACTGAAAACCTACGTGGACAACCAGCAACCTCACATCAGGCAGCTGTTCAGGTAAACATGGTGAAACAAACCTTTCCTGATAAGTATGTATGTGTGTGTCTTTGTCTCTGTATGTCCCTCTTGTATCTGTGTACGACCAGTTTATCTTTAGTTTAATGCTGTGGTATTGACACTTTGAGCGGAACATTATGGATTAAATCTTCTGTTATTAATTTGTGAGTGCGACAAGATGTTATTGTGGTATTGTGAGAATTTCACATCTTTTGAGAGTGTTATGCTTAAGACCTATGCATTTGATGACTTTCCCAGTTGATAAGTCTCCATTTTCATTTATCGTAAGTGTAGCCTTGACAATCAGTTGTTCATGTTGTTTAGACTCAAATTAGACCAGACTGATTATAGTTTAGAGGTGTGTAAATGTGACATGTTTTCCAGATCAAAAGCAGACCTTGGCTACCTGTGTTCTATCCTGGTCCCACTGACTGTTGTAGCTGATCTGGTCTATATAGCTCAACACAATGTCTTCATCGACATGTGTGAGTATAGCCTCTCATCATCCCACATCATCCCCTAGTGGATAGGGTGTTCGTTGGTCATGCTGAAGACCAGGATTCTTTTCCTCACCTGTATAGTTAGTGAAGCTTGTTTCTGTTGTCCCCAACCGTGATACTGGTGGAATATTGCTAAAAAAATATGTGCTCACCCACTCTGTCTCATCTCAGGTCACAGTCTAATTCCTACACCAAATTGATGGAAATATTTCAGCCAAAAATATCTGTTCTACTGGAACCAAATCACTTTGATACTAGGCATTACTTCTTATTTGACCCGTGAATATCCGAGTTAGAATTGGTCTTCGGTAACCCATGCTTGTCGTAAGAGGCTATTAACGGGATCAGGTGGTCAGGCTCGATGACTTCTTGACACACGTCATTGTATCCCAGTTGTGTAGATCGATGCTCGTGCTGTTGATCACTGTATTGTCTGGTCCAGACTCACTTTTTTACAGACCGCCGCCATATAGCTGTGTGAGGCGTTAAACAACAATCAACCAATTTTCTTGTTGTGAATAAGACCTGTCTATGACTGTTGTCAGTTGATGTGATGTCACACCCTAGGGGCAGCACACCACCTGATACACATTATAAGTCAGCAGAAACAACATTCTAAGTAGAATCTAGAAATGGCCACTGACTGGTGACATGTTGTCCAATTGTAAGCAGCAAAGGGACTAAAAAATATATCGTACCTAAGGAAAACTATCAATACTCCATGTGAATGATCATTCATTCACTGTATTGTCAAACTGGGTCCAATGTACTGATTTGGTGTACAATGGTGTGTGGTGATATGGTTTGTTTACTGCCTAAAACTGATAATAATCTCAATCTTCCCTATATATCTGCTATCTTGATACATTGTATTCAAATTCATTCAATGAGCAAATGCCACATGATAAACTGAAATAAGGTTTTCTTCAGTGAAACAAAACATTCCTAATTAGGGCATCATTTTTTTTTTTATGTGTTTCACGTAGCCACCAAATTCTGAACATGGGTCAGTCGGTCGAAAAAAACAAAACATTAATAAAGACAAAATTATCTGAATGATGTTCTTGATTCTCATTTATTGTGATTCTTCTTTAGTTCTTACAATTCCTCTCGTTCTTTGGACTTGTGGCAGCAACTGATTAAAAGATAAATATTTTATATGACAAGGTGGTACGTTTTAGGTTCGAGTCCGGTGATGTTGGAATGGAAAAAAAATTGGGGGCGGTCGGCAATAAAATTGGAAGGGTCGATCGGGCAATAAGAAACACAGAAAATAAAAATGCTGCCCTTATGTTAATTGAAGGCTGATGGGATCACCTAAATGTTTGAAAACTTAATCTGCTTGCTGGTTTGAGTTATTTAACTAGTGAATTATCTCTATTTCTATTTATGTGTCAGTGGAATGGTTGGATGAGTATCGCAAGACACTGGACGACATCGTGGACATCTGGGGGCTGGATCATCAGCACAAGGCTCAAGTCTTTGACCGTGGGTAACAGCAAACATTTACAACATTTTCTGGCTAGAGTCAGTACTTTTCATATCTATTTACTATGCTTTTCTTGAATATTTTACATGAAATTGATTAGTGGATCTATTTGTCAGATTTGATGACTTGCTTGAATGTGTGCAATCATTGTTTATACTTTAAGTCATTGGATTGTCTGGTCCAGTTGACTATTTACAAGTTGCAGTCATTGTGTGGCTGGAATGTCACTGAATGCAGCATTCAACCACAAACAAATAAGCAGTAATACTTTCAACTTGATGGGTATTTTAAATATACGATAGAAAATATTAAACTTGGTTTACTTAACGTTCTTGGGATCAGCACCAATATGTTGTAGTTATGGTGCCTGGATATGTGATCATCAGATGTGACAAATCCTTGCTGTGAACAAGCCTGTCAGTCACCGTACCCATATATGTTGATTGTTGTTTATAAGATACAACCACTGGTCTATATAGTCAAGGGGGTGGTGGGGTAGCCTAGTGGTTAAAGGGTTTGCTTGTCACTCTGAAGACCCGGGTTTGATTCCCCACATGGGTACAATGTGTGATGTTCATTTCTGGTGTCCCAAGACGTGATATTGCTGGAAAATTGCTAATTATGTGTTGTAAAACCATACTCACTCACTCCCTGTATAGTCAAGGACTAATAACTTAACATCCACTTACATCTTCCTTAATCACTTGGAGGCATTCACCAGCAAAACTTCCTTGTGAGTCCACTTCAGCTGAATTGAAGCTAAAGTTAGGAACGAGGAATGTGGCGATGTCACTTCTGATTCAAGGGTATTGTGGGAAATGGGTGCAGGTATTTATTGCTGTACTATGAGGATACACTGGGTCAAGAGGTGACCATAATTATTATGTAAGGATATCAAGCCTTGGTCATACAGGCCATTGGTCAATAATATGAGCGACATGATTGTAGCTGTAGCATTGTACTCCTAGGCCAAATGAAAGGTAGCACCAAAATCAGGTAATATGATACACCTGGCTGTATCACCCATACTGCATTTCTTGACCATGTTGAGCACCAGTCCTTGTCACCGTCCATTAGACCATGTGGTTATACTCTTGCAGTTGGTCTATGAACATGTGGACACTGTTTCAACAGTGGAGTAAACCTTGTTTGTTTTTAGTAACTTGATACATTCTGTGGCTAGTTTCATATCAACAATAATTTTTGGAGGGTGTTGGTGTCATACTAATTTCTGAATAACACTTTTACTGCTCCTGTGAGGTCCTAAACGATAGGCGTGTTTCTAGCATTTGGCCTAGGACTAATTGCAGACTTCAGTGTACCAGCCCCTCAATAAGTCTGTTCAGATAGAGACCCTAAATCTCAGGGATGAGAATTTTCCGCGAGATTGGCAGAATTCCGGGAATTTCATAAGGCCAAGGGTCATTTTGTGAATTGTCCAAATCCGATAGATGCTAAACCCCTGGCTAGTTTTCAGAGTTTTTCTCAAAACTTCATTCTCATCCCTGAAATCTACTATGGCCTGCATTGTTTGTTATTTGAAATCTTTGGCAGCAGGTGTGTCGTGGGACCAAAGTTGAAAATGTACCTGTTAAGATGTGTTTTCAGATTCATACAAGTCCATTAGTTTGCCTTCCAAAGCTTCACAAGGTGACATTGCTGTCATGCCATCGTGAGAGGAAGCAAGAATAACAGATTCATTAACTAAAATTACAAAATATTTACTTTACAAACAACTTTAAGTCCATTCAAACAAACAATGTAAACAACACTCATCAATATGAATAAATACAACAGTCTCTGTTTTCTATAACAAACTGAAACCTATCATGAATATATACAATGACACATAGTATTTTGACAGTTTCAGGATTATGTAACCAAGACAACAGTCACACATTTCTCAGTCACATTGTTGCCAGTCAGATATATATGTGTGGATGTATCACAGAAGTACTGTCCTCACAGAAGTACAAATTGCGTCAGTCCTGAATTGTTCACTCCACCTTTTCCATTCTGGAAGTTTTCTGGGGGCCATATCTCTCCACGAAGTCAGACATGTTCTCTACAATGTTATACACTGGCTGCATCACCCTGTCCAAGATGGACTGGACCACGTGTGCCCATACCAGCACTGCCAAGAAAATCAGCCTTTTCAGAGTAGCCACAATGCCTTGGAATGACACTTCTTGGGGGGACCTTCCTGGCCTCAGCTTGGACACCTTCAAATGGTGCCAAAAGCGAGTGCCACAATTTGGCCAGTGTGTGGTAGCCCAACAGGAGGAAGAGGAAGACGTACCTGAGCCCCAGGTAGAATGTGCTCTTGATGAAACCCATTGTCTCTGTTTCTGAAACAAAATGGCGTTTTACTGTAATTTACCGAAAATGTATGTCAACTATTGGGCATTGCATTTGTACAATGACATCCTTTGACGAGTCAAATTTAACTATCTATGTGTACGTACATGGATTTGGTCAGACATATAGCTTGGATTCTACTTAGCGAGAAAATCCTACCATCTTATCGTACATACACCTGACACTAGAATAGAATAAGGACCCTTCGATAGTGGAACGTAGACGGGGGTGTGAGATAGCTGAATGAAGACTAGGGGTTGTACTACCAGTACTAGACAGTGGTGGACTGGCGTTATATTCAATAACTGAATACCGATCGGTTTTATATTAGTAGAACATCAATAGTATGAGCGTGCGATAGTTGAATTATGATCGGTTGCGCGTTCGATAGGGAAACATCAAAAGGTGTGTTCCGATAATTGAGTAAAGCCCAGCGTTGTACTATCGCTATTACTAAAGCCATTTTGCGGGCATATATCCGATATTTAAATGACAGGTTGAGTTACCTAAATTAAAATACAATGTATATATGACAAACTTGCTCACGCTCAGAATAAGTCATATCCATCGCTCTTCAAATCTGCTGAGTTAAAAAAATCACTAGGTGTGTTAGATAACACGATAACTGAAGGCGTTATGTCATGGTCAAGTTCATCGTCGTTAAAGTGTTATACAGATTTAGATCACAACCGACCATAGGCGGATCTAGAGAGGGGTGCGCACCCCCCACCCCACCCCCTTTGTGGTGAAAGTTTGTTAAATGACCATTGAAACTCTGGTGAAAATGAAGTGTGCACCCCCCCTTTCTCAAAAAGCTGTATCCGCCCCTGCATCCAACCATAGTTATTAATGTTCAAATGATACGTCAGACATAGGTTCTTCCACGATTATAGAACAGAACGTGTAATATATGATTTAGTCTTACCTCAGCTGAAATCTGTTTCAGGTTTGCTCACTAGGATTGAGAAGAAACTGAGCGCGATAACGTTAGTTGGGTATTTATAGTTGTTTTAGCTCGACAGGATTGTCTGGACTCCGAGCCACACGCATTCATAAATGCCCGGGTTGTCAATTTCAGCCGGGGAGTGACCATTAGTGACGTCACGTTCAGCCCCCGTGGAGGACGTGCACAAGTTTAGCACGTGCAATATTGATTACAGGATTCCAAAATACATCAAATTTTCAACTACAGCAGATATTTGTATGGTCTTGATATTGATGAAGTCATGTTTGATGTAGTATTTCAGTGGACGTAAGACGTTTAGATTCCTGTTTACGTGACCTTATCAACACACTCATTTCCTGGTCGTGACCCCACTGAGGACTTTAGACCTGTGATTGCTGTTGGGCGAAATTCTCAAGGGTTGTTGGATCAACTGATAATTATGCAAGAAACAGGCCACCTAGCCTTGCTCCAAGGCTGTACTGAATGCTGAGCCCATGGATGTATTGTAATTCTAGCCTTCGAGGTGGCAAGTCTGGATAAGCGGACAGTGACCTCAGTCTGTTAGTTATTATTTATTAGAAATTATCATTTTAACTATTGATTTTACCTTAGAGACTTGTGCAAGTTTACACGCCATCTTGCATGTCGCTTTTAGGATATGTCTTACTATTTCCGGGATGATTCAGGGACTTTATCATGGACTCTGATTCAGAGTTTGTCACCTTATTCCGTGTGTGCGAAGACACGTATTTGTCCCTGACTTGAAAAAATGGTTGCATTTTTCCTCGGACCTCGTTTTTGAGATGACCTTCTGCGTGTTTATGGTATTCAGTGATCAAAGCGCAAGTGACACACGATCGGTCAACGTGAATGATGTACAGCAAGTGAGCGAATACTGCTTTAAGCCGCATGAGCAATTTAACAGCTATTGCCGAGATCACTCAACGACTTATAACTTTTAATGTATCCTGATGGGACGCTCCAGGAAGGTGAAGACACTGTCTGACGGCACTGTTTTGCAAAGAAATATCCAGTTGAATGACTGACTCAGAAGTAAATAGTTACGGATCCGCTGTACACTGATATTTGTTTTTTAACTGGTATTTGTTTTTGCTACAAATGTAAATCTATGTACTCTTGCTTACAACCCGTGAAGATCCGGGTTAGAATTGGTCTTCAGCAACCCATGATTGTCGTAAGAGGAGACTAACGGGATCGGGGGGTCAGGCTCGCTGACTTCAGTCTTGGTTGACCCATGTCATCGTATCCCCAGTTGGTACATCGATGCTCATGATGTTGATCACTGGGTTGTCTGGTCCAGACTCGAGTATTTACAAACCGCCGCCATATAGCTCGAATATTGCTGAGTGCTGCGTTAAACACACAAATAAACAAACACACAAAAATACTTTATCTAAACTTGACACATCGTTTTCCTAATCTACACAACCATGGAGCAGTATTACTTGTATATCAACTTTGAACAATATAACAATCTATTCATTATGACACGTCGTCTCTATTAGAAGGGGCGGTGGGGTAGACTAGTGGTTTAAGGCGTTCACTCGTCACGCCGAAGACCCGGGTTCGATTCCCCACATGGGTACAATGTGTGAAGCCCATTTCTGGTCTCCCCCGCCGTGTTATTGCTGGAATATTGCTATAAGCGGTGTAAAACCATACTCACTCACTCTATTAGAAATCAGGGATACTTCAGTTTAAGATTTGTACATTTCTCAATTAGGCTCTTGACAAGTCCGACTTGGTTGATGTCATGGAGAAGGCATTAATATCTTGAACGTGCTTCAAGTTATAAAATTCAACTTGCAGAGGAGTTTTGTATCCACATTCCAGGTAATCCCGAAGATAGGTGAATAGTTAACTGATGAGAACTTTTAGCTTTAATTACCGGAAGGTAATGACTGAAAGTATCAGAATGACATCCCAACAGCCTCTCCACAACTTCGTGTTTACTTTATATTATCCAGTCGAAATGCTTACAAAGATAATTTTTCACCAAGTATATTCGAAATTTGTGACATGATTATGGAAACAACAGACTTGTGAATGTGTTGTATGAATGTATGGCCCTACACAGTGACCTAGGATAGGTCCCCAGTACCCCATGCATTACAGACCTGACACGAGGAGTGTGTTGAGTGACATAGAACCCTGACCGCGTCGGGCGTTTGCTGTTGATCATTGGTTTCCGTGTCCGAAACGCGAATATTATCATGTCGATAAGCTGGCTTATTGCAGACTGGCGTCAAACAACCACCCACCTGTTACCTGGCTATTTATTTCGTATCACCTTGAATGGTAAATCTAACGTTAGGCTGTGATGATAAGCGCCGTCACCCTACCCTCCATGGGCCTACACTACAGGAGTACTCACTTGAGTCAGTCTGGTCCTCGGACTTGCACGAAAAGAAGGACATGTTGGTCAAGCTGTTGGACAGATCTGTAACAGAGGGACAAATGCATAGGATATTTGTAAATGAGGTCTTGCATCCCGTACAGAGGACATCTGTACGTACCGTAATGTCCATTGCATCCGTACAGAGGACATCTGTACGTACCGTAATGTCCATTGCATCCGTACAGAGGACATCTGTACGTACCGTAATGCCCATCGCATCCCGTACAGAGGACATCTGTACGTACCGTAATGTCCATTGCATCCCGTACAGAGGACATCTGTGCGTACCGTAATGTCCATTGCATCCCGTACAGAGGACATCTGTACGTACCGTAATGTCCATCGCATCCCGTACAGAGGACATCTGTACGTACCGTAATGTCAATTGCATCACGTACAGAGGACATCTGTACGTACCGTAATGCCCATCGCATCCCGTACAGAGGACATCTGTACCTACCGTAATGTCCATCGCATCCCGTACAGAGGACATCTGTACGTACCGCAATGTCCATTGCATCCCGTACAGAGGACATCTGTACGTACCGTAATGCCCATCGCATCCCGTACAGAGGACATCTGTACGTACCGTAATGCCCATCGCATCCCGTACAGAGGACATCTGTACGTACCGTAATGTCCATCGCATCCCGTACAGAGGACATCTGTACGTACCGTAATGTCAATTGCATCACGTACAGAGGACATCTGTACGTACCGTAATGCCCATCGCATCCCGTACAGAGGACATCTGTACGTACCGTAATGTCCATCGCATCCCGTACAGAGGACATCTGTACGTACCGCAATGTCCATTGCATCCCGTACAGAGGACATCTGTACGTACCGTAATGCCCATCGCATCCCGTACAGAGGACATCTGTACGTACCGTAATGCCCATCGCATCCCGTACAGAGGACATCTGTACGTACCGTAATGTCCATTGCATCCTGTGCAGGACTGTTGTACGTTACGTAAAGCCACGCATCTCGCACAAGGGAACATTAGTATGTATCCGAAATGCCATATATACTGTACGAGTAAACATATGTACGTGGCGGTCACGCATCCCATTCAGAGCATCTGTACATAACCTAAAGACCATGAACATTGTACAAATAAAATTGCATGAAAGCATGCTCATTAAACTGGCTGGGTAAAGTTGTGTTAACAATGAAGTGGGTGAGTGGGCATTTAATGTCGCTTCTGCAATAATTCAGCCGTACACCGACGAAAACGAGTTTAATCACAAACTAATCATTGTCATTGTGACAAACCGGACCGATAATCTTGGTATCACGATCCGATAAGTGTGCATATGAGCTTTTCTCAATACGTAGATGCAATGTCTGCTTCAGCTGTTCATTATCGTGTGATGTTCCCACATTATCGTGTGATGTTCCCACATTATCGTGTGATCCCACATTATCGTGTGATGTTCCCAATACGTTTAGACAGGGGTTCCTCAAGAGACTTCTTGAATATAATACTTAAAACTAGACGTATCAAAGCTAATATCAACTTCACTACTTAAATGTGACGTTTCGGTTTAGTAGTATCTTTGTTAAACACGTAAATCAACAGTTGGATGGGATGGTTATACACATGTATCATTAATACCTGGCAGTTCAACACGTTCGCCATTTTATGCAGGATTATCTGTTCACATTATCTTGTATTTTGCATAATGCTTCCATTTAACTGCGACAGTTGTCCGGGTTGTGTTGGCAATACAGTCCGTATCGACGTATACGCATAACGTATCCATTACACGTTATAACGGAGTTCACGTTATACAGGGTAATTCATTCGTTTACGTTAGGTTTAACATAGAGCTCGCTGGAACCTCTATGGTGTCTGGATAACGCGCGGCTTATAAGATAGCCAGTTTCAATATTCCATTACGTTAACGCCAGGATAGTGAACCGATCAGTTTATGGTGTCTGGTTAGCGGTGGGCTTTTGAGACAAGCAGTTTCAATCTTTCATTATTTTTACATAAACTCTTGAGACCTATTCCGAAAATAATGCGATTCAAAACGTGATTTTTCTTTCTCAGGAAGAGGTAAACAATGACAAGAGGTTTAGTTTAGGACAGATCTGTAACGTAATCTAACCTCGAACACGTGACTCACGCTGTGCTATGTCCTCTCCACATTCTTGCGTCATCGTGGTCGACATCCTCACAATGGATATGCCCCTCTTAAGCGCATTCTTCTGGCCGATGGTCAAACCGAGATTTTCTATGTCCGAATCGGACAAGTCCAGGAAATCCTCTTCCAAGACGATGTTGTTGGTTTCGAGACTTTTCACGGTCTTTTTGTTTAGTTGCCATTTGTCAGAGAAATCCTTCAAGAAGTCCATCTCCATCGTGATGCTATCGTCTGCGTCTGGATTTCGGCTTGAGGCTAGAAGATGTACGCAGCGTTGTGCATATAGGGCAAGGTCAGGCGAGGGTCATCGACTGGTCAGCTGAACGGTCAACACTCCTCTGCATCAGCACAAAACCACTGGTAACCAGAAACCGGTCGCAGTGCAGGTTTTAGCGGTGTTTGTGTTTACGAGTCGCCGGCGTTACGTCACAGGTGTTATAGATTCTTGAAAAGCGTTGCGCAACTGACCGTAACACTTGCAGTGTTTTCGCGTATTGTTATTGGTAACAGACGATGGATGTGGTAGTCACTGGCCCATGACTGACACAACTCCGTGTCCTTAAACTCGCCACTAAGTTACTGAAATACGTTTAGCCTCAGGGGAAAAGATAGATCTCTCTTTTAGGTTGATGTAAGGGTTGCCATTGTTATGACGAGACTTATAACGGACCTACCAGCAACGTAGTTTCGATATATTGTGTAAATGAATATATTGTGGCAGTATTTATTTACCTGATTGAGCCCGGTCTTATGTATAAACGGCTTTGGCTTGTTATGTCCTTGTTAATAGCGTCAGCTTTAGAGTAGAAACGGGCTCATGCCGCGATTTATTATGATAATTAACTTGTAGCCGTCTGTCACAGTCGAATGTCCGTTTTGTTTCACAACCTGTTAATTATGTTGCAAGTAAGTGTGAAAAACTACCCGTTGTTGATGCGTTTTGTATGTGTATATAAAAATATATGAAATGAAAGGCTGATGTAGAAGGTGTCCATAGCAACCTATAAGTGGTCGTAAACTGTAGCCAACCTGACATCCACGCACACGAACTTCTGAAAAAACGTCCTACATGAAAAACACGAAAATTGGAAATCTATTGTTGCAAATTCCAATGCGTCGCATTCATACACCAAACGACCACGTTTGGCCTTCTGTAGGAACATGACCATTACTTAATAATTACGTACTTAACTTTACCGTATGGTTGCCGAGAAGTGTTATAGTTACATAAAGGATCCAGAAATGTTCAGGGGTGTGGGTTCGAAACCCCTGAACCCCACCTTGGCTCTGCCTTTGCAAAACATTTAACTTCAATGTGGTCTTTAGTCATTTTCAAAAGGGTTGGGTTCGAACCCCCTGAACCACCCCCTCTGGATCCGCCACTGAGTTAGACATTTGTGGTTTTCTGATTGACTGAAATAGTGGGAAGATTGAAGGTATTGTGTACCATATAGAAATCTCTGTCATAGTTGCTTTCTGAGAAAGAATATTCACTATTTACTGCAACCACTTTGGAAAACAGCAAAATGACGTCAGCTGATTCAGTTGGATGATCGATCGCTTGAGGCGATTGTCAGTTGGATTAATCCAGTCCAGTGTATCAACCCTGATTTTACAACCATTTCCTGACAACTACAGTGTTTGATATGAGTGATCCATTGACTTTGTTCAATGATTGCTGTTCAATAACACAGCTGGTAGAGCAGATATCTATATGATTCGACAGGGAAGGTATATTTCTAGCCGATGTTAAGGTATTTAACCATATCTCATTTAATCATATGTACATAAAGATGCACACTAATTGTGTAGACCAGGATGAATGTTTCCATGCATGGTCAAATAAATAATTAATTGTTTTTGTAGTAATATGAATCCATCATTAATACAGTGAATGTGACCTAATGGATAAAGTGATCATTTGCCAGAGAAGACCATTGTTCAAGTCAGCATGTGTACAATGTGTGAAGCCTTTATCTCGGGAAGGGGCAAGGCAATTTTCAAGGTCACTGCGACACTTTGAAGATTTCAGCATGTTATCCCAAGAACGGTTCACTGGGTTTTCTTCATAGACTTTCAGAATTCTCTTGAATGCTTTTTGATCAGCAATTTCTTTATTACTATTTTTTTGCATATTTCATACACCATGACATTCATGTCAAGGTCAAAGTGAGTCTTTAAAATATTTGTGTGTTTGAACAGCTGCAGATCAAGATATCAAGAGAGGTTGACTGATCATGTTTTTGTTGACATTTAACTTCATCTTAAACGACGACCTTCACTTTCATTACTTTTTAAGTTTGATTTGATAATTTGCGGCAGGGGATTATGTCACCTTAGTGACAACTGCTTGTTCTACCATGGACTGATAACAAGGGGGGCCCGGGAATAAACAGGTTCCAAGTATACATATGTATTACATGTTTCATGATTTACCAGTACCCATTGTACCAGATCATTGCTCGTGCTTTCAGTCACTGGTGTGTCAAGTCCAAACTTGACAGGAAAAATTTCCGCCCGTAAGCCCCGTTTTTTTATCATTGTATGCCTAAGAATAAATGGTTTTCATAGAAAGCCTACCTCAACCCTAACCCTAAACCTAATGTAAGACTTGGGTAATTGCTGTTATTGCATAACAATTACGTCTCACGGGAAAAGGGATGGGCAAGTGTGTCTATTACGCGAAGTGCTCCAGTCAAAGATGACACAACACAAAAAGACAGTAATAATATATATTGAAATAAAGGTCTTGGTAACAGAGTTGCAAGTTCCGACTGCACAGTCCAGGTGAAACCTAAAAAACAAGCTGGCTTGTTGTCACCTCGACAGTGCAGGCAGAAAGAGCCATTGTGCAAACACAATTATGAAAATTAACAATAATCCGACTGATATGTAGGATGTGACGACAATACTTAATAGGGGCAACAATATTATTAAAGGACAAATAAATACAATATTGGTACAAAAGTATATGTGCATATATGAGCACACAATCCCAAAGAGTATTTACATAAATACCTTTAATTACATAACCCAAAAGAATCGTCACACCCCTCCTATCAGAGGATTTACATAGGGCCCCACCTGAGGTGAGGTGAAGGTCACATTAATATTAAGGGCCAATGGGAAATATAAAATACATATATATACACAAAGTGGGGCAATATCTATACCCAACACATTTGGAATATATGATACAGAAAACCGGTTGATTGATATACACAATAGCCACGACAGGACACCTGGCCTGTAATGCGACACATGTGGCTAAGGGAAATGGGGTATGACTGCCTGTTGGATGATCATACTAGTCAATATGAGGCTAGCTCCAACAGAATGTCAATACACCCAGTAGGTACACCACTTGGGGCTACCCAGAATAAACACCTAATTGTAGTAAGTAAATTGACAGTATGTAATAAACGGATATTACATAAATTATATTACTACGATATGTAGGTATATTATTGGCCATATAATATAATACATTATATTATTATTGAATAAACTGTGACTTCACTTTCACATCAAGTGGGGGAACATACTAAAATATGATTGATATAGTGGCATGGTACCGGTAGTCAATGCTATGTTAAGATAACCATGAAGCAGACGACGGACCCTAGTTTTGTTTACATCCGGTGCAGCCATTTTGTAATGGAGCCGGACGGGAGCCGGAGAATGCCGAGGAGAGCCGAAGACAGCCCAGGCTGTGTGCTGCTCAGTGGAGAGGTCAGCACTGGTCAGTGAGCATGACCGCCACTAATTGGTTCCAGCTGACACCGTGATACTCCAACTGAGCACATGGTTTGGAAACAGGGACAGTGATACAGAGACTTTTTAATTTAGATTAAAATGGCATAAAGAGTTCTGTTGTTAGCAGCAACAAGTTGTAAATAAATGGAATTTTGAATTTAGCAATGAGCTAGAGACAATTTTGACTGGCAGGTCAAATAAGCAAATTAATGCTAAACACACAAAGTACCTTACTAAACTGAATTTCTAGATGAAAATATATTACAATGAGTACATGTCATTTATTCTTGCCATCGAGTGCACGTTTGGACAGTCACAGATGAGTGACCTTTAAGCCAGTTTGGCACAGCAAGAATAATTGATGACAGTGACCCAACACTTGTTTTAATAGTAATTTATCAAATTAAATAATACATTAATTTAAAACCATGAGATAATTACTTATCCTGCTAACAACATAACTATACATAGGAATTTAATACAGAAGACCCAGTTGCAATATCGAAGCAAAACTGAGGTTCTTACCTAAAAACAAGCTGGCTTGTTGTCACCTCGACAGTGCAGGCAGAAAGAGGAAGATTTCAGGCTTGGGGTCCCACTCCCTCTTGCCCCTGTCATGTGACAACATAGCCCCTGGGATTGGCTAAAAACTGTTGCTATGGAGACCATGGCACCAGTGCCTTGAGCCCCAGAACCCTATCAGATAACTGGTAAAGGGCAGGATATTGGGTTACTTGTGCAAAAGACTAGGACAAAATATCCAGCCTTTACACTCTCCCCTTTAAGGAAATTTTGTAACCCGGATTGGAATTGATAAATACAAATACATGATTAAACAATGCTTCAGCTGAACAATCATTCGTGTAACCCTCTTGTATCACACATGTATGACCTGAGAATACTTCTTAAGTAAATGGATCCCAGGAAAAGAACCTAGTGCTTAAATGCAGCTGGCGCTGGGATCTACGAGGAGCTTCCGGCAAGGTCATGATAACAGTCTCTCCTCACAGGGGAGAGACTGAAGTGGTTCCTCCGCAGCAACTGGATCACTTATAGCAGAGTCCACAGAGTTCTCAGATAGGTCTGGCTCACCACCAGATGATTCTACCAGATCACAAGGGCGATGGCGATGTATCCTCATTGTCCGGATCTTCAGGCAGCCTATCTTCTTTTTGATGTAGTTCTCCTGAGTCCCCACTCTCCATGGGTTCTGATGGAGCAGCTTCAGCTTCCACTGCAACCGTTTCCCAGGTGAGGGGTCCTGCAGTGGTTGCCTCATTCTGCATACCGGGAACCACTTGGATTGCGGGGACTTCCTCTACAGTAGGTTGTGAGTATGGCAGCACCTGCTCTTGTGGTTCAAAAGGTTGAGCCTCAGGGTTCAAGCTGCTAGTGGGTACAGCTCTAATAGGTTCAGGCTGTGGGTACCATACATTGACAGTGTGTAGTTCGTCTTCAGAGGATTCCAAGATGTCCTCCGGTTGTTGATTTCGGTTCTGGATCTGGTAACAGGTCAGCCTCTGACATTGGTTTCTTTCTGGTTCATCCATATCTAGGGGCAATGAACCAACAGGAAGTAAGAGGTTGCGATGGTAAGTCTTCGAGG